AAAGAACGTTTCCCCTTTGCCAAAATTCCACAAGATCGTGCCTTCAAGGAAATGCATCCATTTTTAGCAGGCAAGGAGAACCTTTTTTTTTTTTAAACAGATTCCTTTAGATGGTTACTTTAACCCATTAAAGCCGAACACAATTCATTCCTGGTTCAAATTACAGTAGCTGTATTTTACTCATTTGTTTCTTTATAATAAAATTCAGCATTTGTGCTTTTGAGAGGGAATTAGTGTGCTTGCTCTCTGCATTTTGTGGTATGTCAAGGAAAAAAGGGTTTACACATATTAATTCAACTATTCTGCATCACACTGATTATTGCTTGCTTGATTTGGCAGTTATCAATTACTTCTTAGTTCATGCTACAATATTTGTAAAAAAAATATTAAAATGTAAATAATATCTCAGTGCAGCATTGCCACTTTTCTGAGAAATGGAGAGAAATCTTTGTACAAATTTTAGCTTGCACAACAGTTCATACTATTAACACCTTTTTATTTTTTGGTTGTTACTAACCAGTTACTTTATATCTGCAGTGACAGGAGAATATTTATAACTAAAACAAGTCATAATTGTCAAGATATTTTTGATGAAATGGCTTTTTTTTTCGTTTACCTCACTTCCACTTCCTCTTTTGGAAAAGCACCAGATGCTGCCATGCTGCAGGTATATAGCCTGGCGTGCTTTTTTCTTTAAATATTTACCTCCCAGTTTTGTTAGAGCTGTTCCTTTCATTCAGATATTTTTAGGAAGAAGGTGGGGAAGAGGATGGAGTTGAATTGCTTCGTACAATGACTGCTGTACTCAGCCCTGTTTCTGCTCCCATTGAAGGTTTTGGAGGGGGGAGACTTCCAGAGGAAGTGGCCAAAATCAGAAATGTCGCTGAGGCTTAGGATGCGGTCATGGAAAGCTTAAATTCTTGTTGGAGTCTCCTGCAGGACAGGAGAGAATTGCAAATTACCAAAAGCAGTTCTTCATTTGCAGATTTAGAGCTCTCGCTCTGTTTTATAATAAATTTGCTTCCTTCTTATTCTTGAAGTGCTCTTGTTTTATTCTACAGCTCTACCTACTTTTATAGTACTTGCCTTTTTTTTTTTAATGTTCCTGGCAGATCTCCTTAATTCTCCCTTTGAGCACATGAAATCATAGTTACGTTGTGTGAGATGACATTGTCATGACTATCATGTGAGTAAATGCTGCAGCATTATCAACCAAACTTGTAATTGGTTAGACCACTTTTGAATGATTTAAGGGACTGTACCGCTGTCCCAAATTTAGCTCCAGCTTGATCTGCTTTCCATTGAATGAGTCCTAGACCAAAATGCCAAGTTTTAAAAAGTCACTGTAGATTGAGAGAAGTCTGGAAAAACTTAGTCGTTGCTGCTAACCGGCTTTGATGTCTCTTTTCTATCACGCTCTGAGCTCATTTGTTGTTTAAAAAAAGTGTATTTTCATTTCTTCCTACCTAATCTTATTTTGCAGGGAGTTATTTCTAAAGAAATACTGAATCATAGCTCAGAAAATACAGTTTGTGTCTAGTACTGGATGCTATGAGGGTCTAGGCAATAGTACAATGTGTAAACACGGGATTTTAAATATTCTTTGGAAAGATAAAGCGAAACAAAAAGTAATTGAGAGACTTCTCATGTTTGTGGTTAAACCCTTTCCAAAACAGTGAAAACAAACTTTTTCTCTGTGGCTCTTCTGCCAGAAAACATGGTTCATTACTTGGGAAGTCTCGTTCTTTGTTAAAATGAGTAGTATTGAAAACAGGCAGCGCAGCTGTGCGAAGGAGGGAAAAAGCTGCGTGCTGGAGGATGTCAGTATCCTGTGGTACAACTCAGTCCCAGCCCCCAAGGTCCCTAATAAACAACAAAAAAAACACCTTAACCCTTAGATGAGGACCAAAGTTGTAAGTAATTATTTAAAATAGACGCTTAAGCATGTGGGCAATGGAGAAGCTGAGCATTCTTCTACATTACTCGTGCTTATTTCTGAAATAATTTGCATTATTTTCCCTTTCCAATATGTGACAAACAACTGTGCTGCGAAACCTTATGCAAAGTCATATTAGAGATGAGTTCAGTGATTGCAACTGCTGTGGTTGGCTGTGCTTACTATGAAATTTGCAGGATGCATCACTTTTGTTTGTGTTGGGGCTGTGTTTGTTTGGAAATCACTCTTCTCCTACATTTTAGGACAATGTTGGCACAGAAGAGGTTCCCCAGGGGATGTCGCAATTCTGGCCATCGCATTGTTGCCTAGTTTTAGTGCTATTCCTCTGCCTTAAATCTGCTGCAGCTATATGGCTTTTATTCAGAGGGAAGTGGGTTGGGGTTTGCTGTCATTTTTAGTAAATCACTAATGAGAATTAAATTAGGGAAGTAAAGCAAAATAAACCCCGGGACAGGCTTGTGTCTTACAGGAGATGGCTCGTACAAAGTGTGCCCACTGCGTAAATTCACTTTGAAAGTGTACACCGTGTCCCTGCAGGGTATACACGGATATTTTATTGCTTCCTTTACTGTCTGCAGATTCTGATCAGTCTTAATTTGTTCTCTGTCTGCGCTTAGGCTGGAGTTCGGAGTTTAAGGCAGCAAAAGGAATCCCTGCCAGCAGAACAAGGAGCTCTGCCACCTGCACCACCGTTTCCCTGCTGCTCACGTAGAGTTTGGTTGATCAGAAAAACTAGGTTTAATTCCCACAAATTGTGGCAATAAAAAGGGCCTGGGGCGAGCAATGGAAGTAAGAAATCTCGGGGTCTGGCAGGAACGGGAAGTAGGATCCATCACGGTGGTCTGGCTTGGCATTTGACGTGTTTATCTGATGATTTATCAGGATTAGGACATGGTAAGATTAGGATGTTTATGGAAGCTGTCTTCAGCAATCAGTAAGTGCAGGTTTTTTCTCAAAAAAAAAAAAAAAAAAAAAAAGCTTGACCTCTTTCTCAAAAAATAGAAAAAAGAGGAAAATCCATAATCCTGATTTGTTAAAAGGCCATTCTAGATATTCACTGCAGACTTAATGCTAATGGCTTCTTTTGGTTTGTAGTTTTAGCTCCCACTGTTAGAGCTGGTCAGAAACGTTGAATTAAAAATGGTGACTTTCCAAAGTCAAGTTCAAAGTTAGTTTAAGCTGAAGGCAAGATTGATGTTGATATAAACTGAAAAGAAAACCCTTGGTGTGATTTTTCCTACTTTTTGCTGAACAGGCAATGAGTTTTGTTATGTTCCCCATTACTCTTTTATATCCATGGATTAGAGGTTTCCTTGATCTTCATGTTTTCTTGTGTGTGCCTTACACAAGCTTATTTTGTATCCGTTGTATTCTTTGCTATAGTTGACTTTGGTCTTATCCGTAGATTGGATAATATGGTCTCTTACCACTTACACTACAATACATCCGAGAGTTTTTCCCTGCAAAGTTCAGTGTGGTGCTTCTTTCTTCTGAGATTTTTAATTGCTGGTTCTCTATCAATAGTAGCTTGTGGCTTTTTCTGACCAAAGTTGTAAAAATTGAGACAGACATAGCATCAGCTCCAGCTGCCCTAGGAGTAACCTTTTTTCCTTCAGCACCATAGAGCCGCATACACTGAAACAGAGTGGTAGACAAGAGCTCTGCAGGGAGGGCTTTTTTACTCTGTAAAAGCTTCCCTTTGTTTAAAAATAACAATAATAGTCCAAGACTCATGAGACCTACCTGAATTGTCAGCCTTTAAAAAGTAATCTGTATCGGATGGTTCCTTTGTGGAATAAAGCTTATTTTATTTGAAGGATAACCCCAAAACTCATAAAGGATAAGAACCAATAAAGAATATAGCAATTCCATTTGGATATTTGCTTTGATCATTCACAACGCTGATTTAGATTAGTTGAGCTTTTACAGTGAATGTCTGCCTGCTTAAAAAGGTGTGGGTGAAGTCAGTTTATTACCAGGCGGTATCTCTAAAACTCCTTCCTGGTGCAAAGTCATCTTTCTTGTGCTCTTAATGGTGACCATAACCCCTGTCAGATCTGGGTGTGTTAGGAAGTGGGAGCTACTGGTGTGTGTTTGTGAGAACTGTCCTTTGGCATTCATAACCGAGAGCTTGGCTTGACCTTTAAGGAGAAAATAACACTTTGAGCTGTGTTATTTATCACAATGCAGCTTTCACCCTTGGACTCCTCCAAGTAACGCTGATGGATACACGTAGGACTTGAGTTTGGACTGGCTGAGGAAAAATGTTGATTCTTCAAATACAAATATTTGGTGGTAGTTTTGATTAAACTTTGCCTCTTGCCCAGCAGGGAATGTTTGATCACATAGAAATAGTAAATCTTGCTGCTAGTGGTGAGCAGGCATTTCTCTGCTACCAGGACAACTGGTTATTGCATTACGTGATCGGGATTTCAGGATTGAACTGGTGTCTTTGTGAATGGGGGGATGCTTTGGCCGTGATATAGAAGGCTCATATATGGTGTGTGCCCCATGCTTCCCTTACTGGAGCTGTTATATATAAATGTGCACCGTGTAAAGTGAATATTTTAGACTAGAAGTTGAACTAGAAGCTGAGATTTTCATGTGACAGAGTAGCCTAGCAGGGGGCTGAGAGAAGAGTACTTGAGGGTTTTGTTTGTGTTTCATTACAGCACCACTCACCCTATACAAAATCCATAATCTAAAGGTGGAGGAGCTGGTCCTGGAGCAGATTTGAAGCTGGGCTTTCAACATCTTAAACTAACTCCCTTAAGCTTTAAGTGGTTAGGGATGCAAAAGCGTGACTGTGAAAGGAATGGAGCATTTGTCTCTCTTTCTCATTGTCACTACGAGATTTTAAGATGTTAATTTATTTCCTGTGTAATGTGTAAATCACTTTCTAATCTTGAAAACTTTGCAGGCAGGATGGCAAAACTGCTTCCTGTCCAACTCTTCCCACTATGTCATGGCAAACATACAGATAATACTTGCCCTCATTAAATTTTAACATAGCTTCACGGAATTTTTTTTTCTTCCCCTTCAGATTTGTCACGGAACAGACTGTCAGAGCTTCCAGCAGAAGCATGTCACTTTGTCTCCCTTGAGAGCCTTAATGTGTACCAGAACTGCATTCGATACATCCCAGAGGCTGTTTTGAACTTACAGTCTTTAACGTTTCTAAATATCAGGTAACAATTGTCTTTAAAACTTTGCTTTAGCATCGGTAATCTGGGTTGATCAACTTTGGTGCATCCATAAATAATACAGGCACAGTGTGTGATCATCACATTGTTATATTGTGTGTCATTGAAACAAGGCAGCCTGTACCAGTCTCACTTGGGTAGATGATGGAACACAAGGATTAAACAGCAGCTTGTAGAAGTGGAGTATGAAGAGGAAAGCTTATTCCAACTTGCATTACTCATAATAAGTTCCAGTAATTCTCATGTGAAATACATCCATGCTGACTGAAAAGAGAGGATAGAGTTGTTGGCTAATCTGTAAATTTCAAATTTGAGCACCTGAATAAGCTTTATGGAATTGACCTTCACTGTACTAGTGGCTTTTAAACAGCTTTCTCAAGCAGGAACACCTACCTGCCAGTGCTAAAAGCTAATTGGTGCAGTGTATCCTGTGGATAAAATTCAGCTGTGTACAGTATTCTCCGTTTCTAAAAACAGTCTTTTAAGAGGTGATGAAAGGTCTCAATTACAAATTGTCACTGATAGCAATCAAGAAGAATGTCAGGCTTTTTCATTCTGGTGTCGTACTTCTGCCAATTTAGTTAGCTTGTTTTTTATTGCTGGTGAGAGTTATAGGAATAGGATATAAATAAGGTATGGATTTCCTATCGCTCTGATCTCTAGCAGGTACAGTCCAAGTATAATCCTTTGAAAAGCTATTGTTGATTCAGCTACTGCTCAGATATTTTTAATAGCAAGGAAATCTGGGCTTCAGGCATGAAAAAACAGCATATTTTGGTAAATGTCAACATCTGATCAAAGCCTTAGTTAAGATCCTTAGCTACAGTCATAATAACTTTCATTGTAAACATCCATGCTTTGCTCTTTGCTATGTTTTATTTTGAAAGATAGTCTTTCTCCTTTTATAATCCATTCTCATCCTACTTGATTCTCGTCTGAGGTTACAGTCGAGTCATATGATCTCATACTTGCTTTAATAGTAGTCTGTTGTGAAATGTACAACACTGGATTTTGAAACAACCAAATCCATCCTGGCAAGACTTGTGATCCTCATGACTTCCTGAATATTTCAAGTGTATTTCTAATTGTGTATCTATTGAATTTCTCAGTGGAGTTCTGTATGTGCTGACCTGCAATGCTACCCACCTGAAAGGCTTTCGCACCATGTTCAAACATACTAAGTTGTGACAGAGAATGCCCCGTTTTCAAAAGTCCCAAAAATATTTTGTATAGCTGAGTTCAAAAGCATCAGATCAGGCTTGGTATTTGACATTCTAAGTGTGTTCAGACACAGCTGGATAAAGCAAGTAATGGTTCAGGGAGCAAGGAAGTTTTCATGGAACTAGTTTTACAGTAATTATATTATTTAAAAAAAAAAAAAAAAGAGTTGATTGTCAAAACGGAGTGTGCTTTTTGTGTATATCTTGCATTGCATTTTCATTGCTTTTGAGAGGTGAGCTGTCATGAGAGTTGTAATGCTCTTGTTTTCCTTCTGTCCAAAAAGCCGAAACCAGCTCTCAACGTTGCCAGTACACCTCTGTAGTCTACCACTAAAAGTTTTGATAGCAAGCAATAATAAATTGGTTTCAATACCTGAAGAAATAGGACAGCTCCGACAGCTGACAGAGCTTGTGAGTATACAATTATTCTTTAACCACCAATATTTGATCTTTAATTTAATTGACTTAATTAAATGAATTAAATTGATTTAACTATGCGTAATAGGTTCAGATGTTCTTCAGATAAACTGCTAAAAACAGGGCAGTAATTGGGATCCTATCTGGGGATCTGCGAGATTAACATTCTGTTAAGAACTTTGTGATTGTAAACCAGTCATTGCATGCAGCAGCAAGTTATTTAAATCTGCTTTTAGTCTAAGAAGGTTCTCTATCTACTCTAGTATCTCCAGTTATGTTGTGTGGAGTGTACTAACACACTCTTCACTCGTGCTTTGTAGGATGTGAGCTGTAATGAAATACAAACAATACCTCCGCAGATTGGCAATTTGGAATCTTTACGGGACCTAAATGTCAGAAGAAATCATCTGGTGCGTTTACCTGAAGGTGAGATAAAGGCTGTCAGTTGTAACAGCAGAAACTTCAAGCACTTCTGTATTTTTAATGCCTTTTTCTTCCCCTGAGAACTAGAAGCAGATACACTTAATTATTTTGTAAAGTACATGTACAGGGTTTTTTATACTCTTGCTTTTAACTCTGCTGAATTATTGTTTATTTTCTATCTGCAGAGCTCGCTGAGTTGCCTTTGATTCGGTTAGATTTCTCCTGCAATAAAATTACAACAATCCCAGTTTGTTATAGGAACCTCAGACATCTGCAAACCATCATGTTAGAGAACAACCCTCTCCAGTCACCCCCTGCACAGGTAAACTGCAGCTGGGAATTCAGATAACTAGGTCAATTAAAAAGGGTGGAACAAAGTTAAAAGCTGAATAAATTTTATTAGAACCTTTACTTAAGAACAAGAGGACTTTAAATAAATTGTATTCCCTGGAAGTGTTAAATATACAGCACAGCTTGAAAAATCCCTTTTTCTTCTATTTATTGCATTAGAAATCTCAGCTGTGGGATTATACTAAAAAGTCCACTATTAACATTCTGCTAATATTAGCTGAAGATACCAAATAGCTTTAGGAGATGTGTAGGAGGGAGGAAACTCTGTTATGGAAAGCTGTTTTTGTGCCACTCAAATGTCAAAATTTTGACTGAGGCCTCGGTGCTGCTGTGCACCAATTCACTTTGCAGCAGAGTGATCAAATTGGCATTGGAACTAGAAACTGCAGTATGGCTAGTGACTAATTTTGAATGCAGGTATATAAGCCATTGAGAATTACAGATTCTGCTGTGAGCTTCTGCTTCTGAATCTACAGTGGTACTTGCTGAAATCTGTAGTTTCCACAGGCTTTTGCCTCCCTTTAGAAAGCAAAACTGTGATTGTCTTCAGTCACTTTAAGTAAGAGCTTGCTTTGGCAGTCTGCCACTGCCATTCAAAGCTGGACATGGGTAGGATGCATCTGTTCTGATGCCAAGGGTATAAATTCTAGTACTTGTACATACTTAAGTCTATTTTTCATGATGAAGTTTCAGCATCCAGCTGACAGAGTTGTATGCAGACCAGATGTACTTGGAGGACAGCATCCATTTGTTTAACAGGCATCTCGTGACGCTCCACTACAACTGCTCATGTAAAATGCACAGAGGTTAAAAGAAAAGATGCATTGGTTGACATAAATGTGCTCATTTATTACCCTGCACTGCAGGTTAAATCTCTGTTAGAGTATTTTGAAAGTATATTGTAAAATTATCGTTCTTTCCTTTTTTTTTTAAATTCACAGATATGTATAAAAGGAAAAATCCACATATTTAAATACCTGAACATAGAAGCATGCAAGATAGCTCCAGACTTGCCCGATTATGATAGGAGACCAATGGGATTTGGATCTTGGTAAGTTTTGCACCATCAAGGTTTCCAGTTTTGATGTCATTCAGGAAAGTTTTGTCAGCAATCTGAATTTGAAAACAAAATAGACCCAAGGATTGTTCTTTGGTAAGTTCATTGATGGAGGTAGCTTTGAAGAATGTAATTTTTTTTTATCATGGTACATTCTAGCGAGGTACTACTATTTAAGAAACAAAGAGATGTTCAGAAGAAACCTTAGCAATATCATATGAAAGGCAGTACTAGAGTTAATTGTACAGTATAAAGCATATTCTTAGTATGGGGGCATGCTGTCTTGTTGTTAACATGTTCAGTTTATAAGATCTCAATATATTCCACATACTTGCTGAAATATATCCCTGCTGTGATTTTTAACCTGTTGTACAGAATTTTATAACTGCTACGCTCAAACTGCAGGTGTAAATGCTGATCTCCACCCGGTTAGTAAACTGTTATTCTTGGCAAGCTTTCACTTGGCAGTATTGCTTAGCTTTGTAACACAAATATTGGAACAGTCAGCCGTATCAGCTGCTAAATTAAGATGTCTAGAGAAAAGCAGGAGTTGAGATTTATTTCTGTTATATGATAGAGAAGAAAGGGAGTCAGTGAAGTATGAAACTAAGTGTATATAAAAGTTACCTCAGTCGTCTTGGAAGGTGGTAATAATGTGTGGAGGAGTAAGTTGCTAAAGGATGTACTGCAGCAGTAAAACACAGACCAGGGGGCCTCACAATAAATCATCACGAGTCAGATTTGTGAAGAAGAATTTGCACGAGGAACTGACAGAATGATTTCTTATCAGCACTGACTGTCTTAAATTATTTTCTGTCTGAAGTCAACATATGAATTGAATATTTTGGGTGCTCCTCACTTTCCTAGAATATATGCTGTTGCTGACAGTCTCTGTGCAATACTTGGGATACCATCCTGCTATTGAAAAGAAGAGGCTCTAAAAGACAATTTATGATCTCTTTTTTTAGAGAAAATCCCAAAAAAGGGTTCTCACTTACTGACTGTTGTATTACTGTCAAGGTTTTCAATAATTGCTTTTCTGAAAGGATAATTTTTGTTTTAATCATAGCTTGGAAATATGAATGCAAAAAGAGAAAAATTGTATCAAAATGCTTTTCCATTTTTGAGATGTAGCCAAGGAGCCATTTTGATGCTCTTCAATTCTTTGTAACTGATCAACTTAGAACAGGGTTCTCACAGCTCCTAGGAATATGGATGTATTTAAAATGTAATTAAACTGCAGATAGATTTTTTTTTTCTTCTCTGAGCCATGTTTTACAACCGTTAAGTATTGTGAACTATCAGTGTAAGTGTTGTTCTGTCATCAGTGTCTCAAATTTATAGCTCATTAACTGCACTCAGCAGTTTTGTCTTTTTTCTTCCCAACCCTAAAGAAGGGAGGTACTTTTTTCCCCTTATTTCTTGCAGAGGCTTTTTATGCAGATGATCTTTCTGTTCAAATACTAGACCATAATAGTGTGACTCTCCTGAGTTAACCTGAACTCCATGCAGGTGCAAGAACTTGTCTTTTGGTGTCTGTTTGCAGAAGTTTTAACTGCATAGAAGTAGATGGATAGCCTAATATTTCTCATCTGTAGCTCCCCATCCCTCCTATAACTTTGCTTTTTTTTTTTTAAATGTCTATCTGAAAATGTAAGTAGCCCTGGGTCTGTAAGTTTTGAAAGCCCCATGCATGCATATGTGCTGCTTAAATAATAGTAATGAGTAATTTAAAAATAAGTATTTCCTGAAAGAGGGATTTTTAGAGGGGAGCAGCAACTTGAGAGCAATACCAGTGAGAAAATGCCTGGCAATTTGGTTATGATGGGGTGAACCAATTAGCTTCCTGAAGTTCTTCCTTGTGTATTATGTAGTAATTACTGCTGCAGTTCTCCCTGGGGCATCGAGTGCCAGTAGGACAGTTGAGCCATTGTGAAATGCCATCTGCAGTGGGTCAGACAAGTCCCATTGTCTCTTTACTGCAGCTATCTGCAGCAGTTGCCAGGCTTGACATCTGTGATGGCTGTACTGCTGAATTATGTAGTTTCTGAGCCCAGAAATTTAGGGATCTTGTATGGCTGTTTGTTTGTGTGTATTGTAACACCAGGCACATGTTTAATGCCTTTGTCTAGACGTGTCATCGACAAAGTCAGACTCTGTAGATGGAAGCCATACTTTAATATATTTTGAAATATTTGAAATACTGCCCTGCTTTCTGTACTACGTCTTAGGTAGATAATTAGGATACAGAAGATAATCACATAATACATTCTAGGTAACTTTGTGTAGAATAAATACATTTTGCTATGCCTGTATTTTTTGTAATTTTACTTGCTTTTTGCATGTTTGAGGAAAAACTTTGTGAGAAGTAAACAAAAGTGGTTTTCAACCAAAACATACGAGTAGTGGAAAATGAAAGCTTGACATGCTGAACTGTGAAGTAATAATGAGACCACTTTGCTGTTTTCTTTGTCAGAATTTCTGTTTGGGAAACGTTTGCAGTATGGATAAATGCTTTGGTCAGATCAGCTCTTAAAATGCAGGTGAACAGCTGACTGAGCTCATGCCTCTTGTTCTACATGGCAAATGCAGCACGATGCTTTCTAATATGCTGAGCTTGTGAAAACACTGCAACTGTGCTTGGTAGCCTGTTCTACCTCTAGTTCTGTAGTAGCTCACAACTTTTCAGTGACTTCTATGTTGCACTAACTAAACCATTGTGTTTGACAGCCACGAGGAACTTTATTCCAGTCGTCCTTATGGAGCGCTTGATTCTGGCTTCAACAGTGTGGACAGTGGAGACAAAAGATGGTCAGGGAATGAAGTAAGTGTTGCAACTTTTTTGAGTGCCATATTTTACAGGAAAGAAAAATAGTAAGTATACATCTGGAAGCATATTCAGTAGGGAATGTGTATATGTTAGTATGGAAATTGCATTCATCCAATATTTGTAGATTTATTCAAGTAAATCAAGCATAATTTTATATGGGATGCACATGAAGTTAGAAATGTGCATGACAGATGAATTTACTGGAGCACAAAAGATGAGGAAAAGGGAGTTCCTCATTTAAAAAAAAAGTCTTAGATGTCATTAAAATAATGAGTCATCTTCATTTACTTATGAGTAGTTGTCTCAATAAAATCTGAACACAAAAATTGAGCTTCAAAACAGTGTCTCCTAGCAAGGAGGTTGTCAATTTTTCATCCCAGGAATCAGCACCCTTTTTCTCTTGGGACAGGTAGAAAAGGCAGTAGCCAAGATCTAATGTGCTTCCTTGAACTGCTTTCTGTATGCCTCTTTGTGCTCCTAGCTTGGTTTTAGGAAGAGTTGTAGGAGTTTTGTCCTGGGATGTTCTCAAGCACTTGCAATTATTCCAGAGAAAAGCTGTAGTCAAACTGTGTTTTGTTTGATTTTTACTTTGTCATTAAATAAGCTTTCCTAAACAATACACCTTAGCTATATTTTGATAGTGTTTTATACATGCAAAAGAAGACAGTTGAAGTAAAAACACAAATCAAGAGATAGCAACTTGCAAGATGTTTCCCAAGAAAATGTTTCTTCACCATTTGTTTTTCTAAAGCCAACAGATGAGTTTTCAGACCTCCCTTTACGTGTGGCAGAAATCACTAAAGAACAGAGACTGCGAAGAGAAAGTCAGTATCAAGAAAACCGGGGGAGCACAGTTGTAACTAATGGTGGAGGTAAGTAGTGATCTTTGACTAATAGTATTTATTGTTGTTATTATATATTTCAGAATATTTGCTGTAAACAATAGGTTGTCTAAAGACAAAAAAAAAAGGAGAAAGATATAGATAGAATTATTCTGAAAGACTGTTGTGTAAACAGAATGTTAAGTATGTTGCAAGGCAAACTCAATTAGCATTGAAATTAGGATTATCTGGGAAACATTATGTTAGTTTCTGCATATGTGCTAGGGTAAAATTGCCAAATAATTTGAACAGTACGTAGGAATCTTGAACTTCAGTTCATGGAGGTTTGCTGCTTGAGCTACTGGGAGAATTTGTAAATTGGCTGTGCTCTATGTTGACTGCTGTCAGAACTGGACGAGCAGTTTTGTCAGGGAATTCCATGTTTTCAAGCAGCAGATGTGCCTTGTTCAGGAATCGTAGGTTTTAACACAAACACATGAGCTTGTTTTTCTGTACTTCCTCAATTTGTTGTCCTGCAGTCTGAAAGCAGCACCCTCCTATTTGGTCAATAGATGACAGTCCTTCCCACGTGTCTTGATTTCCACGGTCCTTCTCTATTTTAACTTACAATAATCCCCTGCTAACACTGGCTTGCAGTTCAGTCCTCTTCTTGTTACTATGACCTGTGTTAGCGTTCTTTCAGGCTTGTTAGTTTGTCTGTTTTTTCAGTCATTCCATATTCTCCATTTCACACAGTACTGGTTATCGTATCTCTCATCACCACATACACTGATTAAGTTTTCTTTTTGCTTAGCTGCTCTCTGTTTTCCATTTCCCCTAAGGGTTCCAGTTCATGTACCCTGAGTCTCACTCACTCTTTTATTATAAATAAAAATATTTTTAACCTCTCTCTTGCAAGGGAAAGTGTTCTCTTCCCTCTTCTTCCCTCCTCACCCTATTCAACTTTTGCCATCTTCTTTTCTTGATCTTATTCTTTTCTGCTACAGTGGTTTTGTTTTCTTCACTAGCATGTAGAAATACCTGAAACTTTTTTTTTAACTCACACTCCTCTACACATTAATGGATTAGAAAAATTAGTTCAAACAGTTATATTCTGGCAAAGCTAGAGGAATTGAAAACATGATGTTATAGGAAGCTGTGGGCAGCCTTAATAGCAGGTAACACTGTGCCAGCTTTACCTCTAAGACTAACTTTGTTCTTTGGGTTTTGTACGCCAGGCATTTCAAAAGGCCTCACTAGTCCTTTAAGTTGGAGTTCAGTCAGTTCACGAGTAGGAGTACTGGAGAGCAGTACAAGCCATAGCATGTGCTGTCAGTGATCCAGGAGATCCTTTCCAATTTTGTGTTCCTAACACGGTTACTAATGCCTTTCACCCTCTGCTGTATTGTTGTTGTTAAAGTTTAATAAGGTGGTGGTTGTTGTGGTGTGGTTTTTGTTGTGTGTTTTTTTTTTATTTTGTTTTTTAAATATTTGAAACTGAGATGGAGATTTAATGAAGCCAAAATGTATAGGAATGCTGTTTTGGATGGGTGTAGTAGCAGAGGAGGTGGCTTTGGCAGTAACAGTTGCTAGATTGTGTGGTGAAGCAAAGAGAAGTCTGTTTTAGACAAGCAGGAAAGGGGCGGGGGAGTAGAAAAAGAATGTCTGCAAGAGAGTCTAGAGAAAGTTTGGGGACAGTTTTAAGAATGAGAACCAGCACTCAGAAAAAGAGCTCATGCCTTACCCTGCACCCATGGCGCAGTATTTTTCACCTAGGTAGTTTACTAGATGTCATGCTTCTCAGAATTCTTGGGCAGAAGGCACATTCTAGGTTTATAAAATAAAATTTGGAGGTGCTTTTAGGTGCTTTTGAGGTTTCTGTTGCTTTCTGTACTACCTACCATTATTTCCACATTTTTTATTCTTTGCATTTGCATCCTGGTAACTCAGTCACACTGTCCTCTTTTGTTGTTCTAGTAATAAAGTACTAGTAGAAGTATGTCACATCCATCCTAATTTGTCTGAAGGAGATGATTTAGCAACAAGATAAATTGCTCTAAACATACAACTCATTGTGCAGTCTTGATGTTAGGTGATAGATTTTGATAAATACTTTTCAGCATTGAGAAAGTAAAAAATTCATTTAGTCACTACTAAATTATCTGCAGCTGGCAATTTAAAGCTACATGCTTGATATGTTTATCATTGCTTCTTAAAAACCATTAATTTTATCATTATTTCCAAATCTGATGTTTAACAAATGTTAGTGGGCCAGGCAGAACTCAGTACTTTTCAGGCTGAGCTTTCCCAGATGGAAGAAAAACAGTATGGTCTTAGTTCCTGACACTGTTTTTGTTGTTTATTTTTCCCCTCCTGTTGGTCATCTAATTATGGGTGTTTCCTTTGTGTATGTATGTCAAGTGGAACATGATCTCGATCAGATCGACTATATTGATAGCTGTGCCACAGAAGAGGAGGAGGAAGAGGTGAGGCAACCCAAGTGCATGGACTCAGACAGCCTCAGCTCACAATTCATGGCATATATTGACCAGCGGCGAATCTCTAATGAGGTGGTGCTTTTACTTAAACTAGTTAAATTCATATGCCACAGGAAAGCCTTTGTGATGATACTAATGTTTCTTGTCCTCAGAGGTTTTCTTTAGTTTTTAAAAAAAGGAAACAACAAAACAATGCCAAAAAAAACACTAATTGATCTGGAGGAAGAGCACAGTGTTGTGCTCTGTGGAGGGTCAGAACTGGGATGTTAAGTTGCTCTCAAGCGCCCTTTGGGATATGTGGAATGAGTCCAACACGGCCACTCTGTTCTCCTGTCCTGGGGGTTCTTGCAAGCTTTTGCTTTAAGCATATGTGAAGTGAATGTTTTTCCAAAGGAGTGTTTTCATCGGAAAGCACATTTGATGCTTCCATTTGGTAATTGGTGATACCTAGGAAATTGTTCATGTTTACTTGGTGAATTACTTGCTGAATAGATGTCTTTTTTTAAGGGGAAAAAGTTCACTGTTATCAGCTTAGACATACTTCAGGAATTTTGGAACTCCGTTAATCTGGCTGTTCGTATTGATTATGAGTTATTTGCCACTAAACTTACTGTCTTAAGCATCCATTTTAAGTTTAGACTAACGTCAATACTCAGACTTTTCAGAAAGCCTGCTGTTTACAGAAAACAATTTCTCCATTTTGAGCAAGGCTCTGAAGTGTCACCACAGGTTACAGACTCGGATATGTATATAGTCACCTTTTTGAACAAAAGCTATCGTCAGTAGTTCAAGATAAATCTGGCACTAAATTGTTCTCAGTGAGTAGAAGTGTACAGTTAAATGAGCAATATATGAAAGCATTGCTAGACAGGTTGGAAAGTTATCCGGACTGCTTTTTCAAATATCTGGAAGCAGGCATGAGTGGCTGCAGACATTGCCCTATTTTCTTCTTTCACACACAGGCAAAAAAAAAAAGAGGGGGGGCAAAGAAGCCTCTGTTCTTGTTTCCCAACAAGTCTAAACAGTATCCTTCTTTTTTTGTTCTCAAGAGTCTTTCTATTTAAGATGGTATGCAATACTTGTACTGGAATGCTGCATTTCAGAAATCACAGTAACTGTAATATAATTCCTGAGAGTCACAACACATGCACCCATCTCCCTGCAACATAGGGACGAAGAACTTAATTACTTTGCACATTCACAATATAGCATGGTAATAATAGCTGCTTTTATTGGCAGCTTACTATAGCCAGATGAAGTCCAAGAGCAGACAAAGGCAATGATTTCTGTGAAGTTACCGTCATTTTTCTTTTGTTCACGTCCTTTCATTGCTTTCTAACTGCACAAGGATTAGCGTGCACTTGATCAAAATTCACTAAAGTTGCTTTGAAATTGTGTGAATCACCAAAACTGGAAACTGTCTTTGTTCCAGTTGTAGTAGCCACTGCTGTGAACAAACACACAGAGAAGACTGTTCCCTGTTAAGTCACCAATGCCCACCGCTTGGATGGTAGACATTGGAGAGTATCCTCAGAAATCGAACTACAGAAGTGGATTTTCAGCTATATAATGTTTCTTTCTATGAGTCTTACTGCCTGTGTACACAGCTTCACAATTCAGTGGCTCATTGTATATGCTACATGAACAACCTGTCTGAGAAAATCCTTGTGGTTGATACGCTTAAACAGTAGCTATTATGCTGCAATTCAAACTTGTCCTTTCATATTGTTTTGTGTTTTGAAGCAAAAAGATATTTGCTCTTTGGGGAAAGAAGGAGCCATGGGTCTTTAGTATTCACATAGGAGCCTTGTGCCTGTTTTGTCCACTTTATGGTACTGTTCACTGTGTTAAAAATCAGTGACACAAATATCTATTGGAGATGCATTTGTTTTGTAAATCTCACAAGTTCTCAAGGACTCTTCAGTGTACATAATGAAAAGGCATTGATCAACATCAAAAAAAAATTTTTCATAGGGTTCAACCTATTCATAAAAATTAAGCTTTTTGCAGTTTCTCTGAAAAGACAAACAATCAAAAACTCTAACCTAGGTAGTAGTCTAGCTGTATGCAACATAACAATATCCATATGGGCAAGAGTGAAAATTGACAAGTTGATCTTGAAGCTTCCATTTCCCTATGTTAGCGGGTATCAGGAGAAGAGGAATACATGTATGTCTCTGTTCCCAGTAGGATAAATGACTTAATAGCTCAAATGAAGCCATAGGTGTTCTTTTCCTTACCATTTTTTTTTTGCTTTTTTATTCACCTGTGACCTGTCTTTAGGGCATCAGCTATTGTGTCCTGTACTTCTGAGTTTCCAGACTACATTGCTCTACAGTTCTATATGCCTTCTTCAGAGCTTAATTCTCCATTTCTTCTAAGTGATGTTAATTATTTTCTACCTACGTTTACTTCTCTGCATTATCCTTAATAGTGGAGGTTTTAAAACTCATTTAAACAGTAAGCATATTAAGTCTTGAAATTAATTTCTTTAAATAGCAGAGGAAAAAAAAAGTGAGCTTGCCTAGCTGGAAACAAAAATCTTTGAGCTGTGTTTTGTTGTTCTTTGTTGGGTATTTTGAATACTTTGTATGTATGTATGACTTTAATGTACAGTGTTACGAATACATGGCTAATTTAGTCTTCTGTGTTATTCTGCATAGGGCTCCCCAGTAAAGCCTGTATCCGTAAGAGAATTTCAAAAAACAGAAAACAGATATTTACACCAAAATAGGTAAGAATATGTGGTAGCAGTAATTTTGTGCAAAGTTTCATGATGAATGCAAAGCAGATATTTACTGAATGTTTTTTTAATGACGTTTTCTGTTGCTTCACCAGAAATGTACATGGTCCTTTACAAATAATTTATTGCTCTAGATTTGGAATTCATATTCTAATAATGACAACAACCAAAAGGCTTGACTGTTCTATACCAGTGCTTAGATTGAAGTATATTGGTTAAAACATCAGGGGAAGAAGGGCTAGATTGGAAGTCACTGATGACAATGGAAAAACTGCATGGTCACTTAGTTTAACAAAGTTGACCTTTCTGAAGTATGCCCATACTTCTTAGTGATTGCTTGGCTTGTCGAAGGATTAGTGCTTATCCATAAAACATGGGTCAGAGCCGGACAGGATATAAATGAGGTGATTAGGTTTGAGAAGAGATGTCTGGGTTGAAAGAACAGGAGATAGGCAAATGTATAGCTTCTTCTAATGCAACTAAAATCAAAACTGGCAGAACCCTACATATACTATTGAAGGATTTCAGTATTCTGTGGAGTGAAAATGAATGTGAAGGAATCAGCAGAAAACCAGTTCAATTGGACTAGGAATGTTTAAAGAGAGAGAGAGAACTGCTAGCCTTAGGTATGTCATTATTTATGCAGTCAGTAAGTTTATAGGCGTTCAAAAACAGTCTTCAAAGAGAAAATGAAATCAAGAATAATGTTTAAATTTCTCCAGAGTTATGGCAGTGTTTTAGTAGAGATTTTGAAATGTACAGTCAGTGTGTAAATATAGCAGTTGTATTGATATAGTGGAGGGTAACTCCTTCAGCATATATTGGCATTCCTTACCCTGTAGTGTCTACGAGTAAAGCATAAAATAATATAACAGTCTGACGTGTTCTTCCCAAATGAAGTGCTTTTGGTTTGAAAGACTGATTTTTATTTTTTTTCTTATTTGAACATTTGTGGTCAACATGGAAGTAATTAGACAAACACTGGATTCCAAGAAATATCTACAGAAAATAAGACGAGACTGCTAGCTAGCCAGGAGTGAGCTGCTGTTTACATACACAGATTTTAATGATAAAGGAAGTTGTATCTCACTTAGGGTGTCCATTGTTATCAAAATTTTACATGGGAATGGCAGTGGATCTTGATGTGCAAGTAATTAATTAAAGACCTAAAGGAATTGTAGATTGTTCTTATTCTGGTGCAGCAGAGTGAAATGAGGCACTAAAAACAGGTTATGTTGCCCTCAAGATTATGGAAAAACAGACATATGACAACTAGTCTTTTTAAAAAATAAATTAAAAAAATTTAAGCATATATTAGTCAAATATTTCATTTGTGCCAACCACAAGCTGTAAACTGCTTCCACAATAATTCATTGCAAATGCCTTGGCAGGCAGCCTCTTTTTATTTTTTTTTTTTCTTCAGCATGCTGAAGCCATTAAAACCCTTGAAGAGTTGGATGTAATGCAGGCTTCATCTTAAGAGTACTTACATTAGTTGATTCAGTTCAGTAAATAAGGTTTTTGCCTCTGGACAGACTGTGGTTCGTTTCTGATACAACAAAGCTGTGTGTACTCTAGTCTGAATATGCTTCTTAGCACTTCGTTGAACCCAGTCCTGTCTATTCAAAGCTCTGCAGTAGTGGATTTGTCATGTTGTGCATCAGTGCTAACTCAAGTAACAGGGGAAACCTGTGGCGCATGCATCTTCCACATCTTTTAAGCTTCTCCACAGAGAGTAGGTGTAGAATCAGTCTGCACACAGGCAGCAGGAATAATGTTTTTCAAAGTGCATTGAGAAGTCTTTCCCTCTTCCATGGCTGATTCAGGAGCAAGGGTTGCTTAGCCTAGGCTACCAGAGTAACCTACTGGATTTCCATCTGCCTTCTTGTATGAAACCAGCATGGCAGGGAACATGTTGTAGACTGGAATTGTAGACCCTAGGAATTGTTTCAGTGCTCACAGCTACGTTCTAGCTAAGACCTTACAGCAAAATTTCTCTTTTATTATTAGTATGATAGGTATGAGACAGCTCAGTTATTGTTTATCTTGTGACTTTGATGGCTTACATCACTGATGGTTAGAAAGTCATCATTTGATTGGTGAAATGAGATTTGTTCTGAAAATATCAGAGGATGATAAAGTTTTAAAAACATTTTTTCCTTCCTGAAAAAAATAAGGCCTGCAATCACCAGAATATAATCTTGAGAAATTCCATTTTTGTGTGTTTTGAAAACATTCTGTTACTGAAGCAAGTTACATTTATTAAATTATGAACTGTAGTAATTGTGATCTAACTTGGCATCACAATGTATTTTCTTTAGTCATCTTAAATTTCACCTTTGTGGTTATCTGAAGCTAATTGTCTAGGCAATTACTTTCATAAACAGCTGTAGTCTAGAGAAGAACTCACCTGACAGTAGTGTTAATGCATCACTGGCCAATCCCCCTTCCACCTGGTGTTTACCTGCAGGGATACTGATGAATTACGAAGACCTGAAACTCTAAATTTGGTGCAGGACAGAGAGCATCACCAAGTACTAAGGAGTTATGTGGACAGGACAGAGAGGTAGGGAAAAGAAACGCATAGTTTCTACTTTTTTTTTTTCTTTTCTGCTAAACAGCTATTGTAACCAGTTGTTCCTCTACATGAGGATCATCTGAAAAGTTCCTATATTGGTTAATCAGCTCCTGGAGAAATAAGTTTTGAGATTCTGGATATCTCAATATAATAGGCCAAATGTACAAACCCTTTGATACATCCTTAGCTGCAGAAGGATTTTTATCACAGTTCGGGAGAAGAGGTAGAAATGACTGCACAAAATCTACCAAGCAGTAACAATAATTTAAATCATAATTGCAGCAGTTAAGCAGCTTACTAAATAGTTACTTTCCTAGAGTTGATGAGATATGAGTTGTCAGTGATGAATATGTATGAATTATTTTTTTAATTTAAGTTTAAAATATACTTACTCTGTTTTTTCCATTTGTCAGGCCCCCAGCTGATTCACCTTATCTTCTCTCTCTACCAAGTCATCACAGTCAGGTAACGCATTGAACTGTACTGTTCTATTCTTCTGGCTAAGCTTGGTGCAAAACCAAACTTGTGTAAGCCAGAAGATGTGGACTATTGCTCTGTAACCCTTCTGTCTTACCTGCTGTAGTTCTGTCTTAACAGCATAGTGCACTGTTTTGTTCCAGGTGCCCAGTACAGATCCCGAGCTGCACCGCAGGCACATAGAGCGTACACGTCGAGAGGCACAGCTAGCAGCCCTTCAGTACGAGGAGGAAAGGATGAGAACGAAACAGATCCAGAGAGAAGCTGTTCTTGACTTTGTTAAAGTACCTCCTTTTAGTACCTACTTGATTCCAAACCTTTATCTTTTCTGATTCTCTTAATGGAAATTAGTTGGCAAGATCATTAACACTTGAATATTGCAGAAAATAGTTGTAATTGTAAAATTACAATTGTGAAATTGTAATTGTAGAAAAAAGGTTTCTAGCTGCCTGAAACAAAAATGTTCATTATCACCAACTAATCTCAGACTCCTGGCAATGTTTTGCAGAAAAGGTGCTTTTATTAAAGATTCAGCTCAGTCTTTCAGTCAGACTTAAGATTTTTAGGATGCATTTTGTTCATTGACAAGCCTTTTTTCTTTTTCTTCTTCTGTTGCCTTTGTTATTCATGAGCACTTTGTTCTCAGCAATGAAATTACTCCCTTGGGTTATATTTTGGGTTTATTATGCATCTTTTAATATGCAAAAACAATTTGGGTTTTTGTTTTCATGCAGAATGAAAGCTATTTTTTGACTAATAGTATTAGTGTTTTCATCTCAGTGGAAACTTGAATTTCCCCAGTACATATTTTATTTAAAAACTAGGACTTCATGTGTTTTAAAACACTCTAAATTACGCTGTTCTGTTCAGAGCTTTTGTTTTTCTGTCACATCCTTTTAAATTTGTCTTTTGTTTTTCCTTTTTCTCTATAGCAAAAAGCATCTTTAAGTACCCAGAAGCAAAGTCCTCTGGATAGTGAGGTAAGACTCCAATATAAGTATTAATTGGGTTTGGCAGTACCTGAATTCTTAGCTCTCTCCATCAGAGATCAGAGAGATTTTCCTGATTGTGGAGAACTCTTCAGGAATGGTTTATAACATAGGTTTTTACATCTAACAGACCCTGAGTTGGTCTTTTTTTTTTTTTCTTTTTGCTTATGGACCAATTTAGTATTTCCTTCTGTTCGTGTAGATTGCTTGGCTGAGTGTTTTGTTGTTTTTTGTATGTTTTCTATGTTCTATACAGAAAATAGATTTCATGTTCCATTTTAAAATGCTGCTTGGAAGCAGTGCAGTTAAATTTCTAATGGGAGTATTCAAACAAGATTTTGTTTTGCAGTCGTTTCTCCTTCATTGCTCAATTTTCTCCTATTTGCCTCTCATATCCTGTGTGACCTGATCTAGGTGTTCCTGCTCCGGCAGGGGGATTGGACTAGATGATCTTTCAAGTTCCCTTCCAATCCCTATTATTCTGTGATTCTGTGATTACCAATTATCCCAGAAAGATTGACCATTTTTATTTTGAGGGTTATACATTTATTTTTTTAAAAAAAGGTTTCTTTTAGTGTAGTTTTATAGTCAAAAGCAGCGAGTAAATAGGGGATAAAAATTATATGAGGCTCAGCCTTCTATAATAATATAGACCTGAGCCAATGACATCTGTTTGTTCTCTGCAACAAGTTTCTGTTTGGTAATAGCTCTTCTACTGCTTGCCATCCTCACTTTTGTCTGGGGAAGATAATTCATGTGGCAGTGTTAATCAGATCAAAACCTTTAATAGCCTAACGCTTACAAATAGCTCTTCAGAAGCATTTTTCACCTTTTTTTTGTGTTTGAAAATTACCGAAACATGGGGTATTTGAAATAGTTTTTGCTTCTTTTCCTTCTTAATGTTCTTCTGTTCTTAATTGATTCTTTTAAAGAGTCCTTTGTTCTGCCACAGTAAGAATTGTGAATACGTAGTTGTCTGTATTTGCTTGAGACAACACAGAGCAGAATAATTGATTCCTTAAGTGATATGAATATACTGTAATTCATGGGTCATGTGGCTATATATTCCTACACGGTTGTGTATACTGTATAGAACTGCAGAAATAATGCCTCAAAATGCTATAAACAAGCAGTACGTGTCCCTGAATGTCTGTCTGTTCACAACTGTGTCATTCTGTTTGTTTCTGACATTACTCCATCTCTCCCGCCTCCCAGTGTCCCTTTCCATCCAGAAGGTCTCAGCATACTGATGATAGTGCCTTGTTAGTGGTAAGATCCTGCACGCAATGGCCTTTTTATCTGGCAGATTCTAGAGCATAAAAATAGCTACATGTTATGGTTGCCTCAGATTAGACAAACTATTTTAGAGCTAATCTAAATAGCATAAAACATGACTATCTTCAAAAAGTTCGAATATATCGATATTTGTACCATCAGCTATTTGTTATAATAATATAGTGATGTTTTTCGTAAAAGAATTAAAGTTTAGAGAAGAAGAAACTGATAGTGAAGAACAGCTTATGAAATTCAAAATCCTCCTCTAGTAGTTCCAGTTTGATTTCTTCTCCGTTTAGCTTGCTTCCTAATTGATGAGCTCTTCAGCGTCAAGTAAACAATTTTAATGCTTTGAATACAGCCTTCTACTTCAACTTCGTTTGCATCCTGCACCTGGACCTTAGAAAAGCTTAGTGTCATGGTAACCATATCATAGCAAAGGGAAAAACTGCTGTATGTCAATACTAAAAGTCATGAAATATTCCTCATGCCCTCTTACTATTTGTTGATGAAGATGTTGAGCACTAGTAAAAATAAAAACATTTATGTACTCACTTTCATGTTTTATGCTATTTTTTCTTTTATGGCACCTTAGTGATGTAGCATAATTAAAGAACATAATTAATGCCACAATCATTGTCTATAAAAGAAAAATACACTTGATTTGCCTGCTGTTGCATGACTGCATGCCTGAGATTTGTTTTCTTAATTTATGCACATCCACTATCTACCTAAATTTTCTTTAGGCAGTGCTCTTGGTTAGGATAGATCTCTTCAGAACATGTTGGTCAAGGTGTTTACAGTCTCTTTATTCAGACTTTTTGGTTTTCCTGCTATCACATGACCAGCACTGTGAGGGAGAAGAAGAAGGCTCATAATGTTGTGGAGAGATTTAGTTGTGATCATGCATGTGCCTTTTTAGAGAAAGCACAATCAGCATATAAAAATGTGCTCGATATTTAGATTATAAGAACCAGGAGAAGAGTAGATGTGGTTCATGTTAAATGTTGATGTTCTGTTGTCAGTGAATTCATCTTTGGAATGTCTTTTAAAGATACATTTTAAGGACCCCATTTCTTTTTGTTTGTGTGATTCTCATGTTTTTGTTGTAAATTAATATATTGAATTTTAGGTTGTAGACGTGACTAAGAATTTTCAGAAATTATTTTACTGGGCTTCCATCCATGTTGATTTCTTTTGTGTCTTGAAGTTATATCCTTGCACTTCTCTCTCTCATGCACATACACACTCCCTCTCTTCCCTTGCCCCTTCCCAGGCTGATAGGGAAAGATCGAACTGGATTTGAAAATGATCAATTCTGTGTTCATTTTGCTTTTAATTCCTTGCTCTTTTCAGCAGTGCTAAACTGCACATCCTGTACATGGTGGTTTCAGTATATGAAACGTTGGTTTTCTGAACTGCTGAATTATGATCTGCAGATCTATTGTAGTGGAAATACATACTGTGCCTAATGATGACATAACCATAACAGCTGTTTCTGGTGATTATTGTAACTAGAACATTAAGCTCTGGCTAGGTCATGAATTTGTAGGGGTTTTTTTCCACAAATGTATTATTAAAACTTGGTCAACAACAAGGAAATGTTCATTAGTTTCCTTAAAAAATGATTCTGTTATAAGAATCGAAATTCTTTTACCTTTTTTAATTTTTGCATTTCATTTGGCATTTCTCCTGTCCTTATGGATTTGAAATTTAGCTAGATCTAATTTATTAGGATAATTTTATTTTTTTTTTAGGGAAGCGAAGTATAGGGGCATTTCATAGCAAAATACCATTTGCTAACGGCAGTTCTCAGTGCACATTTTCCATTGACATACTTTCCTCTTTATTATTTTATCTCTCTGCCTAAAGACTGCATGCAGTGGTATAAACTTCACCTATTAATTTCAGAAACTTTTGGATACAGAAACTTGCAGATAGGCTAATTTAAAAAAATAATAATAAAGTTGTGTACCGATAGTTTTTCCACTGTTTATTCCAGTTTTAAGGTGCAGGAATAATATAATTATAGTAAAGATGAGAATTCTATAAACTGAGCAGTTACTTTTTTTTTTTTTTTTCCTCCAAAACTCATATTCAGCTCAGATGTAATGGAGAAAAAATCCAATAGGTAAAAGGCAAGAGAGCTCTCCTTTATTTTGATTCTTCTCTTTTCTGGTGCAGTTACAGCTTTTACAGAAACTTCCTTAAAAAGCAAAATTCAGGTTGTGAATCTCCTTTGTGAATCTTACATTATGTTTCTTTTGGTGGTCTTCTATGTTGTCGTTTATCACAAATTAAAATGCATTCACTTTGCACATGTTACTCTGTTTCTTTCTGCTTATAAACACTTTGGGGACAGTCTGTTTCAACTTACAAAATGACTTTGCATACTTGCTGTGAATATTAATAGTTTACTTCTATGTTTCTTCAACATGCTTGTGATTTGATGCAAAATGGGTTTTGGTTATAGGACTTCAGCGTGCGCTCTGACAGATTTCATGTGTTGATTTATAATAGCCAGGCTAGCTAAAACTTTGCTGAAGAAATATAATCAATGGCCTCTCTTGAGAAAATTTGCAGCAGACCTCAAAGTCTTGTATTAGTCATATCCTGCTTGCTGTTCTCACCAGCGCAGGCTCATTCATTACAATTGAAATTTTTTGTTAACGCAACATTGAGGCTTCAGACTTGGCTAAAGTCTTCAACCCCGATTGCTTATGAATCTCATTTTCCCCAAATATCTTCACAGTTAACAGAGGATTTCTGAAACATTTTAAGATAAGGCCTTGGGGCATCAGTGTGCTACAAGTAGTAACGGTGTGAGTAACGTAAGCAGGACATGAATTATACTAACCTGTTCCCTGCAGTTTTCTGTCAGTTGGCATCCCTTTGTGTATTTAGGCAACTAATAATCAAAATCACTTCAAATGCCTATATTTGGTTAGCACAGAGTCGTGGTTGGGCACTGCTTTGGCATCCCCTGTATCTACGGTCGTTTCTGGCATGGGGAGGTTTCTCTGACTTCAGAGCTGCAGTTCAGCATGTGCAGCAGAGCGTTGTGAGGCTGAATTTGCAGCATCCTGGTTCCTTCTGTATTGTGGCTACCTTCTCTTACAGTTGCTCTCTGCCTCACTTCTTCCTCTCTTCCCTCCCTTTCTTCCCTTGCTGTCCCTGACAGAATGGCTTTGAGCCTCTCTTTGTGTTTGAGATTGACAATAACACCAATACCATTAAAAGGAGGCCAGGGACTCGCAAACAGGTGAAGAGCATGCGGTGTGTTGCTGTTGTGGTTGTCTTGCCCTATGGTGTGCTGTGTTCCCCCTTTCTTTGCCTGCTGGTGGCTTCATGGATTGTGACAACTACTTGTTAGTCTGTGTCAAGGTTGTCCTGTCCTTTTCATGTAGGAATAAACAGTTACATGAATGTTACAGAGCAGCATATTGTTTTATATTGTTTTAAATACTTGCTAATGTGTTATTTGTGGAAGTGGTATTTTGAAACTCTTCAAACAAAAACCAATAAAAAATGTTTGCACTGCTACAGAGAAGAGGCTGTTTTCAGGATCAGCTACTAAGTCTACATAGGACCTGAAGATGTTTGTGTAAGGCTTGTCCTGTGCAGAGCATCTCCTTCAAGTCCTTCCTGGCTGTGCTGTTCTGATGCGACAGAATAGTTGCAAACCTTTGAAAATACGAACACCCCAAAGCATGTAGTTGATGTCTATGAAGTTTCTAGGTGTCATTTGGTGTGTTTTTCCTGTGCCGAATTTCCACTTCACTATTTGAATGCTATTTCAGAAAGTATCAGTTTGTTCTCGAGTCATTCAGTCCTCAGATGTCAATGTTTTAAGTATGCTTGCAATAACCAGAGGGGAAGACATTAAAATTTAAAGGAAAGGCTTAGCTTTTTATTTGAAGTGCTTGAGACTTTAAGCACCCCACATATCCTTTGCTGGGCTTTTCCATGATGTAAGTTTGGTCTGGGCAGCTGTTACATCTTTAAAATGTGGGCTTTCATCGTAGCTGTTGTTTTCCGTGTTGTGCTGCCACACCACTTGCATGTACCTTAACAGCAGCGTTGGCTGAAGGGTTCATGGAGATGCAGAATTTGGCCTTCGAGATCCGCCTGTCAGTGACAGATGAGTATTGGCACACTGGAGCTCCCATTCTGGAAACATTAAAAGTTATTTGTTGTTTTTTGTTTGGTTTTGGTGTTTTTTAATCTAGTGGTTAGAATTGAAGTTTGACAGTGCTTTATTTTGGACAACACTGTAAATCTTCGCACTGACGTCTTCTCCAAGAGCTAAATTTCACCCACAGAATCTTTATTACTTTCTCTGTAACTCGCAAAGATCAGGATTAAGTGTTTGTGGCAGAGCAAATGTGCATTCCTTAGTCCATTAGATGCAAGTTTCTCTAATTTTACAAAACTGATGAGAAATTAACTTACTAAAATCCATAGCATACTTGAAACATTAAAAAGAAAGCTTTTGCTTTGAATAGTGGCTCAGGACGAACTGCTACGGGGTAAACTTTTCTTTTGGGTCTAGAGTCTGATGGCACAGGTGTTTCTTTAGTAAGGTCTTACCTATTTATTATTTAGTTCTGCTTCTGATGTCACTTTGTGTGTAAAAAGGAATGTTTCATCTCCCAAGCTTGTTAGCCAGAAGGTTCAGGAGAGTAGGAAGGCTTCAGCTCTGCAAGCAGTTTAGCTCAGCGAGTCATTTTGTGTTGTTTCTGTGTTCTGCCTGCTGAATGTTTCTGAGAACGTGACCGTGATGACCACTTTTTCCATTCTAACTCGTCTACTCGATTCCACCTTTGCACGTGACCTTTCAGCCGTTTGCTAACACTGCTACTGCCTTCTCTTTCTTTCTGCATTCAGTCTCTCTCAGGGTTGAATCAGGAGAGCTGTGCTACTAGCCTGCCCAATGCTTCTACCTTCAGTCCTCTCAAGGTATCTCTCGCTATTATCATTCACCAATAAAGCCAACAAAAAGCTCTTGGATCCACACATCTGTTTTAGCAGGTGTTAGTCTGTCAGCTTCTAGTCAAAAGTTCAGGTAGGGGATGAATCTGATTTAACTGATTAAATTGTAGTAGGTATTACCTCATCTTAGCTTTAGGCTGTGTTTAGAGGAGGCCTAAGCTATAAAAACATGGTAACCCAGCTCTGCTCCGAGGGGTTCTTGGTTGTCTTTGATGTTGCTTTTTATTTACAAGGTGATTTTTTTCTTGACCAAGTTGAGTTTATCAAAAATGCTTTTGTTCTGTTCTTTACCACCTTGCTTTTATCAGTGAATATAGGTATCCTTTATGTCTTTCTCTTTTGTGGAAACTGCTAAACTGAATGCATTCATCATGAGTAACCAGCCTATGTTAAGTGCCATAGTAAACCACAGCGGGTTTCTCTAGGGAGAGTGATGTTCAGTGAATAGCAGTTTTGCATTACCAAAGATGTCAAAGAGGCTGTGTATTCTTCAGCGTTGCTGTTATGCAAGTTTTGCATGTTAATTTAATTATCTGCTTTTCTGTGTCCATTTTGCAAAGAATACTTTGAAATTTTGGGTTAGATGGAAGAGTAAATATAGATCTGTCATTGCACTGTCAGTGCTGTTTAATCTTTGTTTTTTTTTCCTTGGAGAAGAACAATTGTGCCATTTCTGCAAAAGAAAAAGCTTCATTGCTTTCTGCAGAGATGAGATGTGGGGAACAATGTGGTTTGTGTTTTTTTCACGTTTGTTTTTTTTTCTGAAGCATATTTAGATGGATGGAGCCTATTTTAAAACCTATCAAATGAAAATGTGCTCACAGCTTTTCCAGATTAGGACCATTTATACTCTTTTACTTGTTTATCCACAGAGTGATGACAGATCTACCATCTCTCCTGGATCACCTACCACTCAGACAGGTAACAGGGAAAGGCAGTAAAGTTTCTGGGAAAAAAAAGAGGGGAAAAAAAAAAAAAAGAGATCAAAATGCCTGCTTGCATATTTGTGCTGTAAGGAGAAGGGAGCATAGCTTCCCATCTCTGTATGTGGCACTGCTGTGCTTGGTAGTTTACCCACTTATTTGGGTCTCCTTGGAAACACAAGAGGGAAGAGACAGCAGGGGTGAAGCATGTCTTCAGGGAGAGCGTAGGGTTTGGCTGCTTTAGGCTTTCCTGCAAGCTTTGGCCCACAGATGCATTCAGCAGCAGTCAGAACAGTTGTTGGAAGTGGTATGTGGAATGTGCTTTGCATGCAAGTGTCCTTGAAAGCGCCTTTTCCTGCTCTATGCTTTTATCATGCATGCATGTAATTTATTTTGTCATTATATTAAAATTTTTGTTTTGTTCTTTTAATTTACCACATTGCTGAACCCATTTTCTATTTAAACTCTAACCGTTTCCTTCTTCCTCCTTTCCTGTGCCTTCCCGCGTTTGTTTAGTCCACCTTTCCCCTCCATATCCTGGTCATGCAGCCCCGCCTTCCTATAGAAACCCTTCCCAGCGACCTGAGAGTTTCCTTTTCCGAACAGCTGTCAGGGATGAAGCAAACAAAGGTAGGTTACATAGCTCAGAAATTAGCTAGTTTTGCTACATTTTCTTAATATCTGCCTTGCCTAGGGTTTGCACTGTTCTATTATTTCAGGTCATTATTGTCAAACTAGTTTTCGAGTTCCATTTATAGACACATAGCATTAAATACTTTGTGAATAAGCAGTTTTTTATTTAGAGCTGCCAAATATTCTTTTATCATATTTGCGGAAACGTGGGAATTTGTTCTTCCTGGTCTGTGCTTACACTTAAGGACATGCCACACAAGCCTTCAACAAGTGGGGAGGGCAGCTCGATATAGTAGCACATAACAAAATTGCCGTTTCTGTAGAAAGACTGAACTCTTTCAACATAATTCATCTGTCAAAACCTTGTCATCTTTTCGTGAATGATTATTAGCCAACAGAAACAAAAAAATCTAAATGAAAAGGAACTTGTGTTATGGAAACACCTCATTTAGATTAGTAGATCATTAGCTTGATAGATTAATAAGCTAATGAAAGAAACAGATTTGAGAAAAGGAATACACTGTACCCCTTCTGGAACACTGTGTGTGCTGTGTAGTGCAGCAGGGAAGGACAGTCAGCCAAACCATGCTTATTGGTTCTTCTTTCCTTCATGCTACTTTTCAGTGGTTACTTCATCTTCTACACACGCCTTGTCTCCCGCTAATGACTGTGCAGACCCCAGGGTCAGACAAAACTCCAAACAGCGTGAAGAGGAGCTGGAGCTAATAGAGCAGCTCCGTAAGGTAAGTGCTTACAGAAACCAGTGTGTGGATGTCTTGGTAAATGCATTCATGGCATGCCATCATGTTAAGGCTGCCCTTGTGTTTTGGACTGATTTCAGTGAACCATTTATGGCGAGGGGTTGACCAAAATGAAATGGCACCGTGCAATCTGAGTGTTCCTTTCAGATGGATGCAGTGGTGGTCGCTTTGTTGTGGGGGAATAAAGTTAGCTTAATTGCTCTAGAATATACAGTCCTGACTATCACTTTTGAACAGCCAATGATCTCTGCTTTTAAAATAAATATGTACTTTCTTCCTTATCACCCTTCCCACTTGTTAGGAAGTCTGGAAAGCTCCCACAATGTCTTCCTTTTAATCAGTTTTTAAAAACTCAGCTGTAAAGCCCCCACAGAACAGCAAGCGGAATGCAGAGGCTGCTGCCAGTAATGCTGACAGTGTGGTGTCCTTGTGTGTTCTGATTCCATCCATTGCTTCTTGCTTTAGCTATCCTTAGTTAAGTGTAGAATACCTGTAGCATGAGCATTCCTTGTGCTTGTACTTTTTGTCTGTTTAGGGTCGGTAGGCCCTGCTTTGTGCCCAGGTACAGTGGTGAATACACCAAGTGCCATTAAGGTACTGCTCTGCTTTGCCCCAGGCGTGTTTCTGGTGAGCTTGAAGGGCTTCCCTGAAGTGCTTTAATGCTTTGAGCTTTCTCAAGGAAAAAGAATTCCTGTTTGTTAATGCCAATTTTAAAAGCCATAAGCGTCCCAGATGGACAGAGAGAGTTCCTTCTCTTTGCAAATTTTGAAGTAAGGACAATCTGCTTTCTCTGAAGAGAAAGTTCTCTTAAGTAAAATGAAAGAAAACTTGATGATGTTTGTAGAGCCTTTGATCTCTTATCTTGGAATGCTTTGTATGCAGTCTCTCTTGTTCTGCTTCCTGGGTAAGCTTAAATCTTCTTTTGTATTCTTAAAATTTAAGATACAGCATAGCTCAGAGAAACTCACGCAACATATGACATAAGATGAAATGCCTGATTTGAATTTGTATTAATTCCCTGAAACAACTGTTAACTACCTTGGTTTTTAAAACTATTAGCACAAAGTAGTTTGTTTTTTTCTTTACAGAGACTTTTGTTAGCTGTGTTGTCCTCCAACCCACAAACACGATTATTTTAAGTTCTCTTGGCAGAACCATTCATTGAGAATGTGTGGGATTAGGAATACTGTTCTTAGACTCTGACTTCCGTTATTTTTGAGTAAAGGTTGTATTAATCCCCTGTGCTGTGCAGTGAAAGCTGTTCGTCATGGAACTCAGCTGCTCCCAGACTGTGTTCAGCTCTGGCCCAGTGCTGAGCAGAACCTTTCTTGGTGTTACAGGAGTGTCCTGAGGATGGACAGTGTTGTAATGCAAATGCTTCTGCCTCTTATAAAATGTTCTGCAGAGTGAAACAACTGGAAACAGCCCTTACATTTTGTGTGTCCACATTCATTTTTCACAGAATATTGAATCACGGTTGAAAGTGTCACTGCCCAGTGATCTTGGAGCAGCTCTCACCGACGGTGTTGTTCTGTGCCATTTAGCTAATCATGTGCGTCCTCGGTCTGTTCCCAGCATTCATGTCCCCTCACCTGCTGTTGTAAGTATGTACTAATGGTAGTATTTTACAAATGTCCAAAATGCCATCCTGCAAAGTTCTGTAATACAGGCAAGTGCTAAATTCATCATTCTCATCTGTGATCATACATGACAAAAAATAACTGTTTTGTCTGAACAATGTCTGTAGCTTCGTTAAAAATGCATTATGTTTAGGTTTGTTTCCTTTAAGTAAAGTTACTTCTAATACAGATTATAAGAAAACAGTAAGATTTTCAAGTCCTTGCTATGTTAACTTGAAAACTAATGAAATGAAAGACAGTTCAGCGTGAAAACTGAAGTAGGATATTTCAGAAGATCAGAAGTTCCGAGAAGTTCAGGAAAACAGGGAAACATAACGTTCTTTACAATACTTACAATCCCACTACACAAGAGAGCACAAATGGGCAGAGAAGCTAAATTGATGTATGTCCACTTCACAGCAAGATAAATTTCTCTGCTTAGGAATTTCAGCAGAGCACACTTGAGCTACAGTTGCATGTGCTTGGAGAACACCATCTCCTGGAACAAAGTAAATCCAATCATACCTTTGTGATAACAGGAAAAAAAAAAGTTTACTTTGTATTTGGGGGCTGTTCAGAGCAAGGAAAGAAGTACACAGAGAAGTTTGAAATACTCTGTCTAACTGCAGTGTTTCTGGAAAGCAATGATGATAATATATTTTTAGGTGTATTACTCTGAATCACATGGGGAAAGCACAAAATGAGAGAAAGGTCAAGAACTGTGACATACAAATTATTTACCTAATCTCAACCCCTCAGAAAAATATCTGGCAGTCAAAGTTCAGTGAAAATATTTAGGATCAGCTGCTTTAAGGTAGTATGGAGAGACAAAATGCCTGTTATGCACCTTCACATTTTCTTAAAATTATGTAAATAAGGAAAAAAAATTCTCCTGGGGCAAGAAGTTGAAACAAGCATGTTGTTTGCTTTCACTTATTTTGGAGTCAGTTCTTGTGTTGGAATTTGAACTGGCACTGCTGCGTACTGTATCACTGCGGTTCTTCTCGCTTGGAGTTATGTGAACAAGCGGCTGTCTTCATTATTTTGAGAATGATTGAGCTGGACACGCCAGCATTTTAGGCAGATCGTGGAATCATTAAGAGAAGAGGCATACAGCCGCTATTCAGAAGACTCATGTCATTAAGAATATCTTTTCAATGGCCTGGTTTTATGTGCTGTGGCATATTCTCTGTTGCAAATTAAATCGTGGCTTTGTCAGAGATCTCAAGGAAGAGGCAGCCTGTAGCTGGACGGCTCCAGGAGCAGAAGAGGCATCATGTCTTTCCTCACACTGGGATCTTTGTATTCCTTTCATCCTTCAGAAGAAGTCAGCAATACCCTTTAACCTGCTTTCTTGGTGGGGAAATATGGCACACTGATGGGACAGAGGAAAAAAACCACCAGTCTAAGTTTCCCTCACGGAAAAATATTGAACTCGTAGAAGCTGCCACCTGCTGCTACGTAGACTGGGTAGCTTGTACAAAAGAACAGGAAGCTTGTGTCTTTTTAATCAGAAAAGAATAAGCTTCAAGAATAGAAAGAAGACTGAGCCTCTGCAGTGGTATGTCTGTGTAGTTGTGAGAGTTAAGTATATAGAAAAAAAAGACTTGAAAAAAATGCCAGTGAGTTCAACTGAAGCAGCTGTATCAAACCCACCTGCAGGAGGCTTATGTGCAGCAAGTCTCAGTTTCGGTTGTATTCCATTAATCTCTGGTTTCATCTAGCCTGCATTTTTTATTGTTGTTAGTTGAAATAAAGTTTGAAATATTTGTATAATATAGTGATCCAGAATAAACTCCAGATTGCTTCATACCATGAAATCACTCAGAAATCACAGCGCAGGAGCTACACACGTGTGCTTCATTCAAAATGCTTTTTTAATTATCATATTGTAGTCACTGAAAGTGTTAGCCTGTTGTAACATATTGCAGAGGTTAGAATTGTCCTTTTTTGAACATCTATCATTCATAAATTGGCTTGGAAATTTTTGAAATTTTGAAACTGCAACAGAGCCTGGTTTGAATTAGACACGTTTGTCAGTGTGGTATGTTTTTGGCAAAGAGTTCTATTAAGAGTTTTCTTTAAATAAAGAAATCCTTCCAATTAAGAACACTCTGCCTGCCTCCTTTGCAGCCTAAACTTACGATGGCAAAATGCAGACGAAACGTGGAGAATTTCTTGGAAGCTTGCAGAAGGATTGGAGTGCCTCAGGTACATATTTCTGTTACTTTCATGTTACGTTTCAGGTGCAGTTCTAAAACCTTCTTTGAATAAGTTTATGAAAATAAGTTGATTAAAAGTTTAGACGGCATGAGGTGCGCTGTACTATGTAGATCAGACTTACCTTGCATTGTCTTCTAGAATAAAAAAAAGTTGGAAATAGTTTATATAGAGGTTTGATTCACTTACTGATGTGCCTTAAGTTCTTAACAGTTGGCTGCAGCTTGAGCTTGCTTTAGAACTGCAAGGTACATCTATAAAGACAATGAAGTTTTCTCAAGATTAGATACTAGGTGGGATAAAATTTGGGTGGTGTTCTGCATGTGTTACTACCATTCTAAAACATTTGGCTTTCCTTCAGAATAATCCTTTAACACGAGCATCTGTACTGTCTTACCAAGAAGTCACACTGTTGTTGGCCTTTCTCTAATGGTAGCTATCTTTGCATAGATCCTAATTCTTCTTGTTACGTACCAGTGGTAGAACTCTTACCTTCTGGTATTCCTTTTCCCTTTGAAACTGGAATAGCTAAGAGGTAGGAACATATTAAATAATCTGAGTCCAGCTATCATGTTTTATGCTATCCTGTCCTTTCAACTTTGTCTTATTCAGCAGCTGTTTCAGTACAAATAATTTTGATACGTCATGTTTTTCTTTATTTTTCTTCTAGTGCATTAATTGGATTGGTTTCTTATGCTGCTAAGTATTAGTGTTTTTGCTGTAGGTGCTCTTTTCTGTATTATGAAAGGGAAAAGTAGATCCAGTGACTCATTGCCCTGCTGTTTCTAAAAGCAATGCTCTCGAGTCAGTCATGCAGTACTATCTGATAGTTTCGCTGGAAGGCATTTGAGCAATTGGGATTTTTGGATAGCAAATTTATTGAGCTGTCTAGCAATTTGACATGGCTCACTGGTGAATGGCATTGGAACGTTGGAGGGAGTCAAAACTGGTCATTAGTGCTCTGAGATTCTTCGCTATTTTGGTTTCTCTAAGAAAGTTGAGACTTTGCTTCCCAGAGGGACTGTACAATATAAATTCTTCTGGGGCAAAATTGTTCAATTCCATCCCAGCTTCCCTATTTATAGCTCTCTCAGATAAGTAGATTAACTTTTTTTTCGGGCTAGAATACAAAGCAGATCACTGAAATGACCCAAATTTAAAAACAAAATAACACTCCAGCAGGAATTCCCCTATAGACCCAGTCTGCTACAGCTGCTACAGCTACTATCTAGGATCCTCCCATTTTTCTGATTTCTCCTGCTTTCACGTGAAAGAGTTCAAGGAGAATGTCTCTGGGGAAACTTACTGAAATACCCCCAGCTGAATTCTAAGTTGCTCTCACATATCTCCGTTACATGTCTACTGAGATGAGACGGTAAGATATCTGTATGAATGAATGGCATGGCAACCTAATACATTTCTCTGCTAAAAAGATGCCTGCAGGTATTTCCTTTCATTTAAATTGTGATTACAAAAAGAAAAGGCTTTCTGGAAGTATGGATCTATGTAGAAATACTTACCTTCTTAGAGGAAGGCTACTTTATGTAAAAAGCTACTTTAGAAAGTGGTAATTACCGCAGTGAAGCAGCTATTTCTGTAGGAGTTTGCTAGTTAGAGCTCTTGCATCAAAAGAAACCAAAGTTAAACAGATTGGCATGTGCATCTAAATTTCATTGATTTACAGCAGTTACCTCTGTGAAATGGTACCCAGTGGGAATAGTTATAGAACACAAACTAATTAGTAATAGATTAAACAGTAATTTGTAAAAGATGTTTCTGTAGAGTACTGCACCGGAGCATCAATTACGTACAAAAAACGCCTTGTACTGTTTCTGTTAATTAAGATACAGTTTGAGTACTCGGTGCCAAAAAGCTGCAGTCTGTTTCCCCTGAAAAAAATGTTTTTCCCTAAGGCACATGTAAACTGCTGTGTTTTTAACAGCAAAGATTGGTACATGTGTAAGGTGCACAGGTGACAGATACTAAACTCCAGGTAGTCGCATTGAGCACGTTCTTTGTCACACAGATTCTTTTGGAGAATTAACCTGCTGCCACGTGCTGCTTGAACATGTAGGATGTATCTGAAATGTCTGATGTCTGACTGCTCCGTGGATGTTGCTATGGCTAACTGACCTTTTTTTTCTGTCTGTTTTCCCTTCCTGCTCACACACTCTGGACAGGACAATCTTTGTTCCCCTTCTGACATTCTTCAGCTAAACCTCAGCGTTAAAAGAACAGTTGAGACTCTTCTTTCCCTGGGGACAGATTCAGAAGAATCCAGTCTTGTCTCCCTTTCCATTCAGCTCTGGGGCTTTGTGGTGTTTTACTGTACTCTAATGCTAACGCTCTGTATGGTCTATCGCTGGGTCTTCTTTCTCTAGCTGAAGGATAGTGTCGCTGCTTCCTCCCTCCAGCGCTTGGTAAAGGATTTGGGGCTTTGTCAAGACCCCGCGTGCGAAGCGCTTTCCTTCCCACTTATGGGACAGAGGTGACACACCTCCATCTGTGACATAACTCACATTTGTATTTGCTGTGTGATATTTAGCAGATGTAACGCGAAGGGGGGAAGTGCTGTCCATGGGCTAGAGCAAGGGACTGAGGTGTAGGGACGTGTAGGTGCGTGCTGTAGTCTGACTGCTGCCGAGTGATGTAGCACTGGGAGCACTGCAGTCAGTTTGTGCCTGGGTTTCCCTGTCTGTATAATAGGAATTGCACCACTTCGGTGAATTGCTTTGGGATTATCTGATGAAAAATGTTAACAAATGCAAAGTTTTTCTTCTCAACATTAGTGTTCTTGATGAGATCTCACAGTCTTAGGAGACATGGTCTGATCAGTTTTGTCCACAAGACGTTGGGGTTTGTTCTTACCCCAGCTCCTTATCCTGCTTCTGAGGAGATACGACTTTCACATTTGTAGACCAATGTATTACTTCTCAGTCAGGATTTTTAAAATAACTGTCAGTGAATCCTCAGCTACTTGGGCTTTGGAACAGGTCAAGCAGGAAATTTTCAGAGTGAGCTCTTCTGTCAACTCAGCGGGAGCTCTTCTGGCACAGGAGAAAACTTTAAGGTTCTATCAGATGCCACAGGACTGCTGCAGCATTTTATGTTGCTCCGACTAAAACTTAACAAAAGCTTCTTGAGTTGCCACTCAGCTGTGGGACCCCAGACTATGGTCATTCCCTTTTTCCTCCTATTCAGTCATTTTCAGAAACTTGTATATCACACAGCTACAGAAACACAAGTCCTGGCTGCACATTCAGTTCCCTCTTCGCTGTTTTACAAAACTCAGGTAGTCTTCCACAACGCTCAAAGCTTTTCCCTCCCTGGAGAAGCATCCTGGCTCTCTCATTTCTCAGGGACACCTCCGAACTTCAGGGCCCTCCTCATGTCGTGTACAAAAGACCATGTCTCCTCAGAGTGTAGGTCGGTTCAGGGCACGCTGTTCAGAGCTCAGTTCCAGGTAAGTGTTAGGTTAAATGGCTGTTCCGAATGTTGTTTCAATAAATTTGTTATATCTGAATATCCAGTAACTGGCCTGTGAGCCCTGTCCAAGTGGTGGTAGCATTCCAGCACTAACCTGGCACAAACTCCGGAGCACGGTTTCAGATATGCAGGAGTTTAGCTGCAAACGAGGGCACTACCAGTAAAGATGTGTTGTGTACGTGGATCTCACAAGCTCTTGTAACATAAAATGAGTATTTAACAAAGGAGCGAGCAGAGGAGTTAATGCCCTCTTCCTGAACCACACTGTGACTGGCACAAAGCGTTCTGTCCAAGCAAAACATTTCTGCTGCAAGAGGGGACCTTTGGCAAGGGGGAGAGACGATTTTATTTTTCAACAAGCTATTTTTGCACTGTTTACTGGCGTGAACTGAAATGAACTCGGTTCCTATGTTTCTTAACTTCTTCTAATGAACACTGTGATAAAAGCTGCAAGGGGTCTTACACTAACAGTGCCTTCCAGTCTTTAAATTTTGTTTGTCACGGCTGTCTCTGTGGTATGGAGTCATTCCAAAGCTTCTCCCCCTTATCTATTTGCATACATAAGAAAACTGATAAATATTTGCTCTGGTTTACAAGTATTTCTCAAAAAGCACATTTTTTTTCAAAATAACAATTTTGCTGAAAGGAAAATGCATTTCGGCTTGATCGTCTGGCTTACTGCAAGAATTTGTCTGGGTTAATTTGCTTTTTCTCCACTCTGAGCTGTGCGGGAGGCATTGGCTGCTGTTATTCTGAAGGATTTAATATCAAAAAATATCAGTAAAGATGCAAAGAGTGGAAAATTCATATTGCAGTGGAAATAACGTGTGAAAAGGGAAATCTCTGCAGCTCTATAGGAAGGACACAACTTGGTTATTTCTAGAGATACAGAGGACTGTTGGACATGCATCCTGTCCCTGGATGATTGTTGTGGGGTGAGGATGGCCCAGGTGTGCCAAGGACTTATGTGTAGGATGAGGCTTTAAATCCACCTGATGCTGAGAATAGCACAATTCTTAATAAACGATTTGAAACCTCTTTTTGCACTCGGTGTATTACTCTTACTCTTCAGAATGGTTGTGCAAGTGACTGTTCAGTAGGCTGCCCTCTGAAAGGTTTTAAAAAAAAAAAAGGCAGTAGCAACTCATACAGAATATCGGAGGGATATTTGCCTTTAAAAACTGCCGATTTCTCATTGCCTTGAACAGGAGAAATTACATTTTCTACATCTGTTATCACAGTTACTAATACACAGAAGCAAGTTGGGGGGTTCCTTCTTAAAACAACCCGTACTTTCTATTTTTTTTTGCGTGTCTCCCAAAGAATTTGGGAAATGGAGACCAGGCCGTACATCTGGACAGAAGGATCTCAGATGTGCAGCGTCTCCTTACGAGAACTGATTTTAAGCGTGACATTTCCTGTTAGCCTTGTTGCAGTGTTTCCATGGCACACATCAGTACTTCATTCTCTGCCTTAAATTGGTATTCACTTGGTGGCTGAACAAGGCTTGCTATGTGATGACTCTCAACAAGTCAATTCTGTTTGGGAAAGGAAGCCGTGGTTCCTTCTCTCCTCTGCAGATTCACGTTGAAGCAAAGCTTTCCCTCTCCTTAAGTCAGTCGAATTTTGGTTTCACAAGCTGCTGCCGTTTCAGTGTGGGCAGAGATAAAGAATTTCACTGTTTCACAGTTTTCCTATAATCCTTTTCCAAATTCTCATTATTCATACACGTTTTCTGCATGATGCCACATAAATAAACACAACGATTAGCCCAAGAACTCCTGTTTTAAGTAACCACGTTCAGTTCTGTATTCACCAGTAGAAATTTCATTTCATTTGTGTGTGTGCGTGCTAGCTGTCCGTAACATTTCATATTTCAGTCTCCTTTTGCTTAATTTTTCGTTTCGGTTGAGTGTTTTTCATCCATTTTGTTTTTTGTCTTTTGTTTTGTTCCCCATTCAGGAGCAATTATGTTTGCCTCTGCATATTTTAGAAGAGAAAGGTTTGACACAGGTAGCTGTGACTGTGCAGGCGCTCCTGGAGCTGGCACCCCCAAAGCAGCAGCAGCTTCACCACCTGTCTGCTGTGTAAAGACCTCCGGGACCTTTTGGGTTACCTTGGCTAAGCAGAAGGACGTCAAGACTTTACTGCCCATGCAGTGCATCCCCACACACAGAGCTCTGTCCTAAGGAAAGGAGTTCCCGTGATTCCTGACAGGAATGTTTGTGCTTCGTTTCTCCATTTTTTTTGGAGATGACAACAGTTTCCAATAACGTTTTTATTATTGATATTTTTGCCCCCTACTGGGAAAAAAAAGAAAAAAAAAAAAAGGTTGTTGTGAGGGCAGGGACTTGCAGTGGCCAGCTGTTGGAGCCAGCTGTAGAAACTGACCTTGTAGTTTGAAGACGTTGGTGTACACAGTTCGGAAAGCTGTTCCTACAGGAATTAATTTGTTTAAAAAAATAATAAAAAAAAAAAGGATGTTGCTGCAATGGGCACAAGGGGAATGAAATTTCATTCCTTCTCCACGGGATTCAAAGAAAGGGAGTTTCTTTGCCTCCAGAGAACATCTCTTTCCATTATATAGATATATATATTTAAAATATATATATATTGCAACACAATCTTAACCTGCACAGTGTTTCGTAAGAATCAAACCTTGTGCAGCTTTCACTCATGTTGGCATGTCCTCGTTACTTAATATTTGAAGGGGGATTTTTTTTTCTCCAAGGGAAAAAGTACTGCATGTTTTCTCCACAAGAAATATCTTAGTAATTAAAAATTAAAAAAATAAAATAAAAAAAAACAGAGCTACTTAAATCTCCCCTCCTGGTCAGGTAAGGATGCATTTGGTTACTCAGTGTTTTTTTCAAATGACTGTCAAGAATCATGTGCATGTTTTCACTGCAGTGCGAAGAATTACAGCCTGCCATGCAGGTCCTTAGAAATCCAGTATCAGATAATACATTCGGAAGGGACTGGAGCTTCCCATGCAGACATGCCAGCACTGGTGAGTGTCCCAGCCACTGAGAAATTCATCATTTTAAGAACAAAGTTAGGGAATTTCCACCGGTGGGCTGCATACGGTTAACACAGCAATCCTGCAGCAGGTAGCTTCTACATATCACAGTATTCACACAGATGCACTGGTTTACAAAACTACCAGTAATTTCTTCCTCTTTCTTTACCAAGAAAATGGAAATTCAGTGTACAGGAATGGGAGAGGCAGCAGGCAAGTTTTACGTTTTGCTTGAAAGCTGACCTGCAAAACAAAGACCAGCTCTGTGCTTTAGGCACAGTGACCAGGCCAGGCTCACTACCAGATCACTCACAACACGTGTTTTTCCCCAAAAAAGACCTTGTAAAATGCAGTTCTCCACCTCTGCAGTTCTTTTGCTAGTTCCTGACCCATTTCAGTATCCCAGAACAGCGTGCCACTAACGTGTTGTACGGGGTCTGGGACCAACATCAGGCGTTGGAGGTACATCTGAAGCAGAGTGCACCAAGAGGATTGAATGGGGACAAAGGAAGGAGAAGGACTGGGGAGTGGCTGGCTAAAAGCCAGTTTTGCTGAAGTAAACCTGCCACAGGAACACTGACAAAGCCTGCTCGTAGCTGGATTTTTCCCCTTTTGATTTTCAGTTTCTTTCCACTGTTTTGCTTCACGGTTTGCTTTCAGGACTCGTTGTGGTGAGTGTTGTATCCCCGGTTCACACAATGACTCCAGCTGCTTCTTATTGGCATTGGCTGATCACGGTGCAAGCACGTGTGAAAGGAAACCTTTTCATACCACCTAGCATGTTGCCCTGAGCTCTGCAAGAAATGCAAATGCCAATAACTTGCAATGCATAGAGCAGAGAGCAGTCCCATAGTGACCTGCTTTCCTCCTCGAGTAGCTCTTGTGTTTCCCTTGTTTTCACGTGCAAGGTCTGCTGGTAATTGTTGAACGGTTACGTAGGTGTCAGAAGTCTCTGCTGTAGTTTGTTGTGCAGATGATCGTGCCACTCGCAGCCAACAGTACAGCCCACGAATGTTTCTTGTCTTCGTCTCTCACGTAATTTGAAAGAGGGGGGCAGTGAATTCCTCTTAGTTTTCACCATGAGGTCATTTGTATCGTACAGAGGCACGTTACGTTTTCATAGCGCACCCTTCGTAGGCTATTTAAATGTTCCTGTTTGAAGAAAACCGTTCCCTTCAGGGGACTGTGAGGGTGTGTTGTTTGCTTCAGTCCGGCTTCCAGCACTTAGGGAAACTAAAACTTAACAGTATTCAGGTTGGTGGAAGCTTGACATTTCATTAATGCTAGCTTTTAGGAATTAATGAGGTCTGAACTGCAAGAAACGGCCACTTTTATTGTCTGGTTAAAAGAGCAATTCATGTACACGGGCAGTGCATGCACACAGCAGCCGAATTCATGTGAAAAGCAGTGTTTGCAGGACTGGGCTGGTGTGTGTATGTCTGAGTATCACTTACCTTGTTAGAAGCAGCAGTTCGCTCTGCCGGTTTCAGATGTATTTGGTCATGTTAGTTTAACCCTTAGAGTCGTGTGTGTTCATGCTGGCAAACACTAAATGTTGACCAGATGTTTAGGACAAAAATCCAGACCTGAAGTTTCATTGTAGGGCTTATTTAATTATTATACCAAACAAAAACAAAAGCAAAACAAAAAAAAAAACACTTCGGTTTCATTTTACAAAATAGGTTGGGAGATTTTTTTTTAGTGTATTTATGTGCAATTTTTGTTGTGTCCAGTGAAAAGAATATTTTAAAGAAACTGTGTATAAAATTCTATTTTGTGTTAAAGAGGCGATTGTTTTTTCCTTTCTGGGGCATTTGTGTTGGAGGATGTGGGAGGAATCCAGCTGAGTGTTTCGTGCTTGCCGGTGTCCGTATACTGACCCCATTGTTCCACCACCCTCCCTCAAAACGATGCCGAGCACTGAGCAGTGTTTGAGGCTCAGCAGCCTCACAGGCTTGAAATCAAGTGGCACTGGCACTCAGGAGTCCCTGATGGCATTGAAACGATCAGGTCAAAGCGACTGGGATTTGATTCTTCCCCCTTGTGAAGGGGGGGAGCTTCGGTGGCCTGCTTAAAATAGATCAGAGACAGGTTTTTTACAGCACCAAGAACTCCTCTGTTGTGCTTGGTAGTGACACAACAGCAAATGGTATTTTTATCCTTTTGTAAGTGGTCCTTTTGAAAAAATGTTTTAGAAACAGGACTTTTACGGTGAATTTGGACATTAAAAAATTCTTTTGTATAAATATTGTGATGTTTTACAAAGCAATCTAATTTTGTTATTTCTGAAAACAGTGTAAACGTGTAATTAATAGAGTAAAGGATTTTAAAGCTTCATCCCATGCTGTATGTCTGTAAATACATTCCATAATTTCTAAGTCTGTTAAGTATAAATATGTTTGAATATTGTACACTTTATTTTAAATTGCCTGTATTCTGCCAGTAGTGTGAACTTCTAGCACATTAATAATATAAAAGGAAACCATGGGTAATTTGAAATAAAGTTTTAAGACTTACATGAACTGCAGTATGTTTTCCTCATGTTCTGTGGTATGAATGAATGTCACATCCTGTGTGCCAGGTGTGTGTATTCACCCTCCACATCATCAAGTTGGTTTTTTGTTTTTTTTAAACCTTCTCAAAGCGAGCAGTAAAATGTACCTTCAGGGCCTGGGCGGTTTGCTGCAGTTCTCATCTTCTGCTTGATTTTATCCTGTCTTGGTTCAGTCTGTAAAATTTGTCACTGTGCTTCATGCCTGTCCCCTCCCCTGTATCTGCAAGGTTTGTTCCTGTTAGCCAAAATATTCGCTCCTCTTTTCTTCAGCTCCCATCCTGCCTTCTTCAGGGGTGCCCAGCTCTCTCCAGGTTTCATTTCTCCCCTAGCTTCTGTCTCCTGCCTTTCTTTCTCCTCCACTCACCTCCTTGGAAACCAGTCTGTCCAAAGGGCTCCTGATCGCTGGGATTTCCTGCAGAAAACACCTCGGCTGTGTGCTGTGATCCTGTCTCTCCACAGCTGGAAAAATTGAGCGGTGCCAGGCTGTGTGATGGTGCTCCCAGCTCCAGTCACTGGGGATGCTCAGCTTTATTCAGCAGCTGGACAGCCAAGCAGCAGGGACCAGCTCTGATTTCTGACCCAGCAAGGAGAGGCTCATACAGAGAGCAGTGGCTCTGAGAGCAGCCGATGCAGCGGAGAAGGCCCGGAGGAGCCAGATGGATGGCAGCATGAGCGGAGTCTGCAGGCAGGAGGGGGCTGCTCTCACCTGGAAGGGGTAAGCTCACATGGGTTAGGTCAGGGTAAAAGCCTCTGCCCACCTCAGGGCAGCGTCACCCAGCAGCCAGGATGCTCGCCTTGGGACTCCGGGGATTTTGGTACCCCCGTCCTTATCAGAACAGCAAAGCCAGTCCCACTGTTTCTTTGATAAAGATATTTGCTAAATTATTTTTGAAAGAGTAGCCCTTCCCATTACATGAGGGTTCACAGCTGGCTAAGTTTGGAAGCGTGCTTTGCTGTGCCCAAGCAATTTGTGGTTTGGGGGTGTTGCTTCGTTTCTCTTCAAGACACTAGGTACTGAAACTGAAATTTTGAATTATTTCATGATCCAGTGCAGCGTGTAACTTGCTACGGGCTTGTTCACTGCAGCTCTGGGGCACCTGATGTACCCTGAGTGCAAGTGCTGTGTTACCCTGCCATCAGGAACTGGGGCTTGCTGCGGAGGCTGAGGAGGACTTACACAAATTCAGTTATATTTTGTTCTGTGCTGAAAAGCAAGCAAAGGCATAAGCATGAGGAAGGAGATTGAGAATTAGGAACATCCGATGGCTCTGCAGTGCCCTCTGCAAGGAGCCGTGGTGCAGATGGGTGATGTCAGCCCAGGCTTAGCTCGCTCCTGCCAGCACGGGACTGGCAGTAACCCCTGTTGTTGCCTCCCCGTGGGGACCATGGAAAGCAAGTGAGCATTTTCATGGATTTGGTACATGTTGGAATGGGAACACATGGTGGTTTAAGCAGCAGTGCCCCCAGCAGCAATGCCAATATTTCTAACTGGAGTTTGTGTAGTGTCTGCAGTTTCAGCACTCCCTTGATAACCAGCTCAGCCTGATAGTCAGGCACCAGCCCCTTTCCTTCCCTTCCCTTCAGACAGGGTTCTGAGCCAAAGGCTCTTTGCTCGTGATTTCAGTAATCCTGCTTGAACTTTAGAGCTTTTGGCACGGTTCAACCTGGACACAAGGATGTTTGGATGGGGCCAGCACAGCCTGGTCACAAAAAGCACAGATGGGGATGAGTTTGTATGGTTTGAGCTCTCTTCCCTGTGCAGGAGTGTCAGAAAGCAGCCGGCTCAGCCATGGGTGAGTGACAGTGGTGTCAGGAGAAAGGGACAAAAAAAAAAAACAAACCCAGAACTTTGCTCCCCACCAGCTTTGTTCCCTGCCTGACATCCCTGCACGGAGGTCGCAGTCGTGGTGGGTACGGCTGTGACAGAGCAGCTCCTCTGGGCCGTGCGGCCAGCTGTCTTTTTCCATTGTTGCTTCCCTCTGTAGGAGGGCACTGAGAGCTTTTCTGTCTCGGAGCTGACACTTTGCAGGGCTGTGGGAATGGAAACCTGCATGCTTCGCCTGCCCTCGTGTTTACACTGCAAAGTGTCAGCAGTTTTCCCCTGGCCGACCTAATGCTGGCACTGACACCGGGGAGAGCGCTGCTTGAGCCCAGATGTGGGTGATGCCTTCCCTGCCTCGCTCAGAGCCACAGCAAACACCACCCCTTCCATGGCCAGTGCTGTGGGGGACTGCAAAGGAGCCTCTCTGTGCAGAGCACCTCATCTGGTGAGTTCTGGAGCTGTTCATAGGGTTACATCCCGCTAGCTTTAATGTTTCCATAAAGCTACTACTGGGGAAGCAGCATTTCTGCTGTACAAAGACAGTTTCAGGTCACTGGAGCTTCACCTTCACAAACCACGTTCTCCAGAATAGCCCAAGATCTATGACGTGGTTTATTTTGTCCTGATGGACACGCAGAGAGCAGTGCCCTGCCCAGCAGCAGCCCCGGAGCGCGTCTGTGGCCGGGTTTCTTACTTATCATTTCTTTTTCTTTGCTCCAGGTTTTTCCTTTTTGTTTGTCTGCTTTGACAGCTGCTTCTCTCGATTCTTCTTGAGGTTCTGGTAGGGGCCAAGGTATCTGCGGACCATTGTACCTCTCCACCAGGCCTGCAGCTGGAAGTAGGAGAGAGAGGTCTTAGGGGAAATCGGTTGCAGGGGAAATCCGGGTACAGTAAAATGGACAGAGCGTCTCTCCTGCACTTCCCAACTGCAGGGGGAAACCCCCGGCCCATGCAGCAGCAGCTGGGCCTCTGCTGATGACACTGAAGGCATCCGTGTATAAGCTGAGGGCAAGAGGAGGAGTAGGGGAACAGCCCCGTGACTCCCCTCTTGTATCACCCATGCAGTGGGGCTGCTGTGATGGGCACAGCCCCAGATCATTCGAGGAGGCTGGCTTTTCTCCTGTTGTTCCCTTCTTAATCATTCTGCAGCCAGCTGCTGGCTTTGTGTCTGCCCCAGTAGACGGGGACAGCTTTAATCTGTCCCTTGCTTGTGCCACCCCGTACCAGCCAACTTTCTCAGGCCATTTTCTGCCTGAACGCAGCCTGTGGTGCAAATAATTAACTCCCAGCTGCTGATGGAGCAGCACTGCCTCAGTTTCGTTCCCCTTTACCTTCAGGATGCTCTTCAGTTCCAGGGCATCCCGCTCTAGTTTTCTTCTTTTAGCCTCCTTTTCTGCCCGATCAGCGATGATGGTTTCCTCAAACATCTGGCACTGCGAGGTAGCAGAGGGGTAGTTCAGCAGCCACATGAAAAAAAACAGCCAGGGACGTCTCTGCTCCATGGCAGCCCACGGGTAATGTGTAAGCCTGGACCTTCCTCCCCCACCTCCTTTATTTGATCTTTTCCTGAATCCAGATGGCAAATGTTGCTCATTACCACCGCTCCTAAAGGCACTGAGAGCTGCTGCCAAAGTGAAACCGCTCGTGGCCTGGGTGTAATTAACCCCCCGATCCTGTGCTGTAACATGGCTGTCTGCTGGTGTCTCAGGCAACAGATGTCGGTAGGAAGGACCCGTGCTCCCCCAGGCTAGGCAGCAGATGATGAATTGAAAGGCTTGGGACACCCAGCTGACAGTACAGAGTGAAAAATGAGCCCACAAGCAGGGAAACATCTAACTCAAGCCCAGCATCTCAGGCCCAGTGACAATAAGGAATGATCACAAGTGAATTCCTTCTAGCACCCTTTTTACCAGACACTTCATTTTGCCCTGTGCTGCCTGCTCTGATGCGCCTGTGTGTCTGTGATCAAAGCCCAGCAGTTAACCAAGAAACTGGTGTGGGGTAGGAATGATTTTAACTGGAATCGGTCTCCTGATAACAGAGCACTGCGCAGCTGTGAACACACATCTCCAGGAGGGGAAGGAACTGCTTCTTTCAGGCTCAGCTTGTCATACCCACACATCGCTAGAAGGAACGAGCTTGTTCTGGCTACGGCAGCAAACTAAGGTGAGGCATACTGACGGGATGGGGCAGTGCCTTTGCCCCTCACAAAGGCTATCAATAGTTTTCTAATTACCTGCTGGTATTCAAAAATAGCTCAGGGATAACATCACCATCCTTCCTTGATGTCATGCCTTCCCAGGACCTGTGCTCATAACCCCATCCTACAGCTCTAGATTACTCATTTTTTCCCCCGTGGTCCTTGTTCCTTATCTGAATGACAGGAAAAAGCCAGGATGTGGTTTTGCATGGCTGAGCTGCTGCTGCCGCCTTACCTCACTGGCAAACCTCTGCAGCATTTCCAGGTTGTTTGCCTTTGATTCTTTTAGGGCTTCAAGTTCTGCGTCTTTAGCATCTGTGTCATTTTCATACTTGTCCACCCAGTATTCCAGCTTCTCTTCCACCTTCTGCATGGGGACAGAGAGGCGTTCAGCATGGTACAAGGAGCGTACAGGGGGTGCACTCCCTGGGGGACACTGTGGAAGCCCCAGCACTGGCCTGGACGTTAAAAGAGACTGGCTCAGCCTTGCAGAGGTGCACAAAGAATGGAGTAGCCCTGGGAGTTAGTTTTGTGCACAATCCTGGTGCAGTAAATGACAACCAGAAGCCATTCTTTGTGTGTGCGCATAGGAAGGGGAGTTTAGGAAACACAGTGTCACAGTGAGAAACCTTTTATCCTCTGCATGACTGCCTAGCCGCTTTCTGGATTAAACTCGGTGCACCCGGACTAAGGTCCCATGGGTCAGCAGCTCACGCTTTTTCAGGTTGTGAACTTGGCTTTGTCACACTCATTAATAGGAGGGCAGGTGTTTCTGAAACATCGTGCCAGATGATTTCCTCCCATTCATGAGTAACTTCTCCATAGCAACAGCCATGATTGCCTGCATGGAAAAATAGTCTGAGGAAAAGCATCAATCTCATCACAACCTCACAGCTGGACGCACGAGGGAAGTGGAGGGCATGGTCAGCCTCTTCTCTGTGGGCCACCGTAAAGCCACCAGCTGCTGGCTGAGTACAGAGAGGCGTAGGATGTACGTAGGAGGTCCTCTCACTCTGAAACCTTGGTCAGACTATGGTCCTGGGATAGGGAGCTCATGCTTTAATTGCTCTGAAGATACGGCACTTTTCTGCAGTCGTATTTTAAAAATATGAATCTCTTTTCTTAAATTTCACTCTGGCAGTGATGCTAGGTACCCTGCAGCAGTACAGGTTTTCTGCCAGCCATATGTGAGACATTTATGACGCTTACCAATGTTATTTGCTGTTATGAGCACTGCTGTTGATGACAGAAAAACTCTGAACCTTTGGATCAGCAGCACAGGGACATTCATGGTTGGTAGCTGCTCAGATCAGGTACAATAATCATGAGCTAGCAATTATCCAACCCCAATTCTTGCTCAGATTAAGAAAAGGCATAATTATTCTAGCAGCTTCTGTCTTTCACTCTCTGCAACACTTGGGTGTGTGATTTGTTGCCCTAACTTAGTGCAAGAGCACTCTTCACTGCGTTGTGGAATTCCCAGCTCCTGCCAAAGGTCTACACAAAATCCCTGATAGCTGAATACAGCTATCTGAGGGAGGGAAAATCTGTAACAACAGGATAAAAAATCCCAATCATATGAACTCTAATTTTAAGAAAATGTGTGCAATCTAGCAAATCACAAATCAGGGAGAGCCAGCTTAATTCCGACTTGAAGGGAAGCAGTAATTCAAACAGCAACAATCGTGATGGAGCAATAACTGCTTTTCTTTAGACACTAATCAATGATGTAATAGTTATTGGTTGAGATTTCAGGTACTAACATAAAAAGCCAAACACACCTTATAGTATTGCCTGAGGAAATTTTCAGTCTCCACGTGGACTCGAATCTCCTCATCAGTTTCCTTCTTCAAGTCCTGGGATTGATGCAACAGAAATGTGAGATGATGTTACTGCATCTGTGTGTGTACCTTTGCTGCTCAGAGCCCAGCTGGTGCACAAGCACGTAGAGCTCTCTGTGCAGTCCACAGCGCATTTTTGCCTTTTTCCCAGTGCCCAAACTGACTGAGGCAGAAGTTCACCCTGTGGCTACCTGACAGCTCTACCAGCATAACATGCTGCAGGGCAATGCTAGGAGTTTAAGCTGCTGCAGTTGCTAAATAGCACTATAACTGTATGCAAGTGGAGCATGAACTTGCAGCATTAAAATGAATATGGGGAAATATATTTAAAATAAATCCATTTGACTTGAATCACCTTTAAAGGAACCAAATAAGTAAAGTACTTAGCCTTGTTTTACCTGTTTGAGGTCTGATCTAGAAAGCTTTGCGTCCACAGTCTGCATGATAGTTCTGGTGGCAGACAACCACCTGTCATCATCTAAGTCCTCTGATCAAGCATTTCTCCAGGAAAGCCCCCAAGACAGCTACCTGTCCGTGCTGAGGCCAAACACTGGCCTTATTTTCATTATTTCTTTATTTTTTTTTCTTCCTTCCTTCCTTTTTTCTTTCTTTGGCTTTTTCAGATCTGAAAAACTGCTGCTTGTGCAGCTCACCATACTTCAGCTGCAATTCCAAGGGAGGGGGATGTTTATCGTTTTAGAGAAAAAAAGGATAACGTGGTGTAAAAATGGGGCACCAGACAAGCAGAGGCATCGCTAGAGTCCTAGGAGAAGATCTTTCTGAGACAAGAATTGTTCCCAGCACAGTGCTGAGTCCTCCTGTCCTCAACTACAGACAACCCGCTGAGCTGACTTTTTCCTCACAAGCTGCAGGTATTTTTCAGTAAGGGCTGTGGGGAAGAGCTTACCTCGATTTCCTTGTTCAGTCCATTTTCTGCATTGCAGCACTTCTTCTGGGTTTGGTGGACCTGGAGGTCTGTGTGTTTTTTTACGTAGCATTTCTCCATGTCTGTTTTGGCTTTCAACTCTTGCAACTCCTCTTTGAGGTAGAGAATTGTATTATCTCGGTTCTAGGGGGGGAGACAGAATAAGCAAAAAAAGCAAGCCTGGAGACTGAAATCAGCTCTCTGTTTCTTAATCTCTCCACTCCCTGATAAATGCAAAAGAATCAAAGGCTGTAGGCTTCACACTTTCCCTGACTGTTGACCCATTTTAAACTGTGCTTCAAATGGAAGTTTGATTTACAACCCATACAAGAAGGCAATAAATTCATCAGTGAGGAGTGATAACCCCCGGAGAAGGTGGAGTGGTGAACAGAGTGGGACAAGAAACCAGGCCTGGTGGGCTTTGGTTCAGGAAGAGATTCAGACATGCTTATTATAAGCATGAAAATAGTCCTCTAATTTCAACTGCTAAAGGGAGGCTTTGCTAACTACTTGGATTAGGCTGTCTCAGTGAGCAGGCATCTGTAACAAGAGGATGATACCTCAACCCCCTATATGCCTAAGTCTGATTTCTTAAAGTACGCTCTATTCCTTGGATTTATTGATGGTTTTTGGTTTGCGATGTGTTTTTTTTTTCTTAGTTATACAGCAACTGTAAAAATACAGCCCTATGAACAGGTGAAAATCTAATCTTGACTCACTCATATGTTTAAACAGTTCTTTCTTGAAATCTTATCAAGAAAATGCTGCCCACTTTGTTAATAAAAGCACACACCCAGGGTAAGTAAGGAGTGCCAAGGAAAAGCTGGCCATGAGCTCCCAGCCTCTCCCCACACCTTGTTTCACAGCGGAGCTGAGCTTTCCTGGGGGAGTTCTGTCTCCGGGACATTTACCCCCAAGCCAACGTGCCCCATTTGTCCAGCTTTTTGTGTGTGCTCAGGAAGCAAAGTGCATTTGCTCGATATGGGATTGTTAGTTTCCTTACTCCTTTTTAATGATTTTATTTGAATAGCAGATAAAAGCTCATCAATCAAGGGTTGGGACTTGGAAGAACCTCCCGTAAAATGAAAAACTCTAGACTGCATTGCGAGTTAAAAAGGTCATCAAAGTCCCCTGTGTAATTATGCAAGAGCAGCAGTAATGCCTCTGGGCTGGCTCCCAGTTGCTCCATTACAGCCTCTCTCTTTGCTCTCCTGCCCTGCTGTGACGGGTTTGACATTCATCAGCCAAACCTTGCAGCTGAAGATGAAATACCGAAGTGTTGGCATTTAAATGGGTTGAAGCCCACGTATCTTGTCTCTGAAGCACCCTTGCATTCCTTAGCTGTGTAAACATGGAAAAATGCCACAGGAAGGAGCCAGCTCAATAGCGCTGCGTTTGAAAGCCTTCGCAGCGTGACTCATTTGGAAAGGTTTCCTTATAAGAAGAGTTTGGAACAGTTAAAAGAAAATCCTTCCCTCTGCACCCCTTGTCGGACATAGCTAGGAAGAGGAAAGTATATTTATAAGGCCCAGGACAATTAGGGCCTTGGTTGGTGCAGTTCTGTGGTTTTAAAAGTCATGCATTCAAAATTTGTGAAGGTTTCCAAGATCAGATATTTTTTTTAACAGCCGTATCATCATATGACTGCAGACAGCTACAGACACGACCTATTTATGCCCCATTAAGGTTTCTGGTAATGGCTTTTATTCTCCTTGATGTGAAATTCTGCTAGGCATTGGGAGTGGTTGTGTTCCTACTCAGTAGACGTGGGAGGTGACTACACCACTTTATCCTGAGGTTGTCTTGCTGTGTTGTGGTGGAAGCACGGCTAAATCCAGGGGCTGGCAGACAGAGCGGGGAGATGCTAATGAAAAACCCCAAGGTTTTGTGGCACTGAGGCTCTGCAAAACCAAGTGCTGCTGAAGTCAGGGTCTTGCTGCTATCTGCTAAGGATCTGGAAACAGGCCAGAAAAGAAGGGTTCAGCCTAGGTTACAAAGTATTCGGAGAGGTGGGGCAGAGCACGAACACCACGCTATTTTCTTTTTTATTTTTATTTTGATAGGGGAAAAAAAGCTTTTGATTTCAGAGCCCCAGGCCTCAGCTGGGAGAGGGGCCCGCCTGCTCTGTTTGTTTTCTTGGCTGCACGGCATGTTTGTGGTTTGGATTTGGTGGTGTAAAACAGCTCTGATAGAAGCGGGGAGTCTGGGGGCTTGGTTACACAACCCGAAGCAGACGGGAAGTGAAATGCAAAACCCCGCTGGTGGTTTACAGTAATGCACTCACTTGGAGAGGGAAAGTCTCCTGCAGGCATGTGGGCAGCTACTGCAGCCCCGCTGGGGGGCCGGGAGCTGCAGAACCGGGGCGGTTTTGGTGTGACATCGCGGGCTGTGACTGCTGCTGCCACCCACAAGCCGTGGGCGCCATCTGTGGACCGTGCTGGTCCCTGAAGTTCAGAGGCAGGTACGGGGAAAACGAGTTAATATTTATTCATTCCGGTTTATTCTAGCAAAGGGCTCAGCCAGGACACTGCGTGCTTTCACGGTTAATGCAGTAAACCTCTGGGCTGCTTATTTGGGATGACTTCAGCTTCGAATCTGCCAAACCAAAGATGCAAAATCATACATCATGCATCCAAAACTATCCCCAAACTGGCAGAGACCGAGATCAAAACCCAGGAAATACTTGTTAAGAGCCAGTCTGCTCTGCTAGCAGGTAAACAAGCTTTTTTTTTCTCTGATCTCTCAGCTCGCAGACATCAGCTCAGAGGGCTGTCTGCTGCTGTTCTCCGGTGCCATAGGATTCTGCCCCACAGATGCTGTTTGGCAGCAAAAGCAACTGCACTCGAGCTGGAAAGGGTACGCACGCTCATGTGTTTTCATTTACTTTGATTTATCTGCCTTGCAAGTGCCCCCTGCATCTCTCAGTTCTTCCACAGCAATTAGCATTTCCAGTCCCTTAAAATACAGCTGGTTACAGAAATAACAACCAGCAGCAAAGAGTCTGTGTGATTCCTACAGCCTTGGGGTAAACTCCCTGCTGCCAGCAGCTCACCCGGTGCCCACCGTTTGGAGGGAGCAGGGGAGGGGGTGCTGTGCTGTGTGGGGGCAGTTAGTGAGCCTGCAGGGCGCCCCGCTGCCTGCCTCCTTGCTTCCACGCCGAGTGTGGATGAGCTCAAATCTTTCCACTGGCAGCTGCGATAGCTCAGCCTGCAAAGCCTGGAGTTATGCTTAGATCTACACACCTGCTGCAGCCTGGACTTGCATCCCCTGAAAACACACAGCTCTGTCCTAGCTGCCAGAACATCCCTGTGCTGCACACACCCCCCCCGAGGAATGCTTCAGCCGAAAGGACAGCAGGGCTGGAGGGTCACCCATTCTCCTGCCATAAGGACTTCTGCAGCCCTCCGCTAGCTCACCTCAATACCAACAAGTGCTGTGCCGTGGCTGAGGGGCAGTTTGCTGGCAGAGGGACCAGACTTGTTGGCAGTGGCACCCTTGTCAAAGACCCTTGTCCCCTGTGGCACCACGTTTGGATCTAATGCACCAGCTCTGGCTCCTGCTGAGCTGCCTCAGGGGCTGTTCCAGCAGTGGGATGAAGTAGCCCAGGGCCATCACAAACCTCTTGCCTTTCTCTACAGTCATCTGGTACGTTTCTCCAGCACAAACATGCACCAGTTTAGGGGTATATGCAGTTAAGATATTCCCCCTGAACAGTTATTTGATGGATTTGTCTTCCTGGGGGAGGCTAAGGGAAGAAATGTGACAGATTTTAGTCACTGCTGAAAGCACTACTGAGTGGCACACTGATACTGGAGCTGGTTGTCTTAACAGAGCTCAAAGAGAATAAAAAATAATGGACCTATTTGCACTGGCACCATGATGTAACATCTTGGTTTTCTGTCTAGTATGTAGCCTGAAATATTACTGTGTTATAAAATTATACCATAACTTGCATACATTTATGGCATGAATTTAACAAAAAAACTACAGGTCATAAAAAGTCTCTGTGAGAACAGCAATGTGGGAAGTTAAAAGTTTACATTCTCCCCTCCCCCCCGCCTTTTTTTTGTTAACCTGTATAAACTATATAATTTTATACAATATTAACTTGTTTCAAAATCTGTATGATGGCCATCTCTTGTCCAGAAGATCTGAGAAAGTGAGCGTTTTTCTGCAAGCTCGGAAATGAACACTGTAGCAGCAAACAGAACTTCTGCAGCCAAAGTACAGGTATCGGTGATGTTCCTTTACGGAGGAACATCATAACAAAACAGTCTGGAATAAAAACAGCCTGACCGTCTCAGCTCTTTTGAGACACCAGTGGTTTCCAAAAGGAAAGAAAACGAAATGTGAGAACGTTTAGCGTTTGACTTGTGTTCTATTAGAAAGAAAAATGAGCAGAGCAGGCTAATACAGCATTAATTAGCATCTCATTAAGAACTAGCAAGACTGAAAATAAAAACATGCAAGCAACATGTGTGAATCAATGACCGTGTTTTTCTGGTTCCATGATTAGATTTGCTTGCTTTTGTTTTCTCATCCACTGCACTGGAGACAGCCATGCAGGCTTTCGTCTACAGGTCTGTGTGTTATTATTGTTCAAAGTGCTCCAAAATCAGCAAGCTGTATTTTTGCTTCTAATTAGTTGGCAAGGTGACAAATCATGCAAGTGTCTGTAAAACTGCCGATGGGAAAATCCCATATTAAGCAAAAATAAATTATTCTCCCTCGGGAGACGGAGTGAGACACCATTATTTTTGGCACAGGAGGAAAGCAGTACTTGAAAGTAGTCTTGTCTTTGATTTGTTATCAAAGCTGAAACTATAAGGAAACCCAGAAAAGGATTTTTAGGCTGGAAACATAAAAACAAAATCCCAAATGAGTGCAGGTCCTACTTGGCAAAACGCAAGAACCCAATTAGCATAAGGTATTAAAAGAACACAGAAAAGGTCACCTCAGCATGGGAGCTACACACCTTCCGAAGACTGCAAGAGCAAAGAGAGGTGCAAGGCAGGACAGAGAAATGCCAAGCCTGACTGCAGTGCCAGGACATTGCTGCTAGAGAGAGATGGGATGATTACAGCCCATATACCGGTCCCAGGGAAGGTATTAAACCAGAGCTGGACACGTATGTTGTGTGCACAGACACTGAGGTTTGTGAAGCACTACACAGAAGGCAAAATACTTCATCATACTCATGAGCTTGGGGAGAGGGAAAAAAGAAGCTTCCCAGGAGCCATCAGAAGCTGAGTGAGACAGGACGTTGTGCAGAAACAAACAGTCAAAATGTGGTGTTGTGAGCCTGACAAACTATCCAGCTTATTTCATTTAAGTGCCACACAGATGTCAAGGGAATTTGGGTTATCCCACAGGGCCTAGAAATAGTCTCCCAACCCACTTCCAGTGGGAGTAAGTATATATTGAAATATACAGCTTCCCTTTTCAGTCCTGGGTCTGACCTTTACATCTTTTAGATGTTCTGTTCAATTCTGTAAGGGAAAAAAAATAAACTTAATTCTTTGTTTCTCCTTCGCTTTCCACAACTATTCTTCCTTGTTTCTTTTTCCTAACTTGCTAACTTTCCATTTCCTTCAATGACTTCTTTCTCCTCTCTGTTATGCCCACGTTTTTTTTCTAGTGTTCTTTTCATCTTGCTACATTTCCCAGTGTACCTTATGCATTTCCAGGATCTCTGCTAGTAGATTTCCCCTTGGTGTGATGCCCACTGTTAAGTAACCTCACCTGAAGTTCTGTTTCAGTTTCTTTCTTGACATCTTGCAGCTGTTTCTGGAGTGACTTTATCTCCTTCTTTCCTTCCTCCTCCCTGAAGGAAAATGGGAAAATACAATCACTTGAATACACCAAGAAAGGCAGGAGTTGTGTACCTAGATAGGGAATTTCCTATCTCCTGATACATCAGTGCACCTAGCTGAACACTGCCCCACTTAACCTGCTAATTGGTGAGTTTGTAACAGCTGAACTAAAACCAGCATGCACAAAAGCTTGCCCTGCTTCTTCAGAACAGCAGATAGCTGCTTTCTGTAGCTGGGTAGCAGAAAAGGCATTCGTCCCTTCACTCCGATTCTTGAGGAGGCAGCACAGCTGCAAGTCAGAAGCAGAGGCTCCTCACCAAAGCCAGTGATTTGGTAAGTAAATCCTTAAAGAAAAGATGCATAGACTGAGCAAGGAGGATGGGAGAGAGAGGCAGAATGAACCAAAACCCTGGGGAACCACATCAAAACCTACGTAAGTATTTACCTGTTTAAAACAAAATGGATGCAGTAATATTCTAGGTTTCATTACTATCTTATTTCACCCTGAGTGCTTTTCTAAGCTCTTATGCCTATCATTTGATGTTAAAGCCAGTAAAAAGAATTGCTGCCTGAGGCTTTGAACCCACTCCCAACCTTACATGCAAACACACATTCCATTTTCAGAGTCCTCAGCTGGGTGACTGTGATGCACTGAAGCTCCTGATTAGGAGTTCCAGCCTTGCTGCAGACCGCTTTCAGACCAGTATATTGACACAAACCCAGGGAAGTTATAGTATATTGAAATACAGACCAAATTCATTCCATGAAAAGAATGTACAGTAGATCAGGCAGCACAGTGATTAGATATGGTTTATAGACTGGAATAAAATGATTATGTCCATTCCAGTTATGATTTGTCTGCCCCTTTCCATTTTCCAGTATTGATCGGTGATTCCACAAGCAATTGCTGCTTTCATTTTTGCTTTCTGTCCTTTCTATGGATAAACAATAAATCCCTTGGTTTTAGACAGTGGAAGAGGTGGGTTTTGTGCTTGAAAGACAATTGCCTCTGCTGCCATCTGTGCTAGCCCCTTGCTGTCAGTGGTTAAAGGGAGCACATTAGCATATGGGTCAAAGCAGATCCTCCTGGGCATCATCTAACCTAAAGGCCGTGTGTTGCTGACCCTGGTTTGAGCAGATTATTTGCATCTCTGGCTTCCTCTGGGGACAGGGAGTTAAAGATCGGGGATCTCCTATATCACATTATGTTTTAATTGATTATGGAGCAGCATTTGCATTAATGCAGACACTGGTGTCCACTGTGGTCCAAGCTGAGCCAATTCCCTAATGTGATTAGTATCAGTACCATCAGTTATTTCTCTCTCAACGGGAAAGAAGTGCAATTTGTAAAGCAGTCAGGATAATTTAAGCTGAAAAAGTGGCATCCTTTCTATATCTTGATTTAGTGTTTTTGTTTGTTTTTGTTTATTTCCTTTTTATAGCATCTGCTGAGGGGGAATGGGCTTTGGCTCTGAGCAGTGAAGCAGAAAAATACTGAAGTCAACTCTGACCTGATGAGGGTGTCATGAAACTTGTTCTTCTTTGCATTCTCTCTCCCATTAGCTTCTATTAGGCTGTTAAATGTTCCTGATTCCTGCATCTCTTTCATAGTTGCAGTAATTACATCGCTTGCATACTGCCTGCCAGGAAGAAAATGTATACAACAGTAATTTATAAGTGGGAGAGTGGGAACCCTGTATTTTTCCTTTTGAGAGAGACTGAGAACTTTAAAGCACTGAGCATCCCCCACAGCCATTATATCTGTGCTTCACTCACCTGTCAGCCTGAATTTTTCTGAGAGTATCTGCAGGCAGAGCACTGTGTTTCATGGCCTTGTTGGAAATATGATGGGCTCTTTTCAGATCCACAGAATTCCCCAGCTGCTGCTTGTGCTCAGTGCTTTTCAGAGGCTTGGAGGTAACCGTTTCCCCACCCCCTTGCCTTGCAGATGTAAGCTCTTGATGGTCAATGTCCAGCTCCTTCTTGTTGTCTCCAATTTCTTTCATTTCCTGGCTCTCAATCTAAAAGGGAGTACAAGAGACCTGCTTGCACATTGGGCAGTTGAAATAAATCCTCTGCAAATTTATGTGAGAGGAGCAACAATTAATAATAAACAAGAATGCAGATATACTAAGTAGACATTTGTCTGAGATGTTTTTAAAGACCTCCAGCAAGGGAGACTGCACAGTCTCCAGCCAGTCCCAGCATGTCACAGCTATCTGTACTGTAAGGAAGATTTTTCTGAAAGTCCTTGTCTGCAGCTGAACCTCTGACTTCTTGTCCTAGTATCTGTAGACACAGAGAAAAAAATATTCCTTCCTTCTTTGCAGCAGCTTTTATGTATGGGAAGCTTGTTAGTCTGTTTCCCCTCAGCCTTCTTTCCATCTTTGCCATTTCCCCTTTTATGTCACCAGGACCTTTGCCTACAATATTTTTGTTAGAACAAGAGCTGCAATGCATGGAAATAAATGATAGGCATCAGCTATCTGCTTAGCTGCTGCTTGTGAGAGTAACAGCAGAAGAGGTATAACGTGAATTCAGAGAGGAAATACAAAATACTAGCAGCAATCTTTTATGGGAAGATATCTTCCAACTGTGTACAATTCTTCAAGCAAAAAAAGCCCTGAAAAAGAAAAAGCACACTATAAAATCAACTGAGGCCTTGCTTCTAGGAATTCCCCTGCTTAATGTGTTGTGGGTAAGAATGCAGGTGTATACACTGGGGCATTAAAAGAGAAAATTTTCTTGCTCACCTACAGACATCTCAGAGTTTGCATGTCATCTTAGCCTGTGGCTAAGCACCACAGTTTATAGCAGTACCACTGAAGCCAAATAATGCAGTCATTTCTAGCCCTAATTCTAGTCCAGAGCTGCCTACTCTCCACTCTGGCTGCTTGGTGAAATGGAAAAGAGAACTCACTGAGCTGAAACTTTTTCCAGCAAAGAAGGGGAAAAAAAAATATTTTTAACAGCACCAGTTCTCAGTCCAGATCACTTCACAACCACAAAAATCTTTGTGCCAACACAGCACCAAGGGCAGAGTGAAAACAAGCGGTCAGAGCAGCCATGGTGCATGCTAGCAGTAATTCCAAGAAGCTCATGGCCCAGCAAGGCTCCGATCATGTTCTGTGATCCTACTGCAGGCAGTGGGGGCAGCGAGCAGGGCACTGCACAGGGCTGCTTCATCCTGAATACACATACAGCTCACGAGGAGATGAACCAGCCTCTGGAAGTGCCCAACTCGCCACTGACTACAGAAGGAGTCTAGCTGGCTACATACTTACTTTTTGGACAGTTGAATTTACATTAAATGAATGCCATGCAAAGTATATACAGAGCAATTAAAATTACACAGTTAATTAGGAAAAAAAAAAGTTTAAAATAGTTTTCAGTGAAGGCTGTACTTCAGAAATAGCTAATTTAGGCAAACAAACTTTTAATATGATGTAGATTTTATGAATGCTCTGATAGATGTTTATAATGTCTGGGAAAGTTCAAAACAGGTTATAACTGGGTTGTCTGTAAACAGTAGGGAATTAAGCACTAATAATTACCAAATAACTACGGAAGAGCAAGGACTTTGTAAACTGAATGTGGTGCCATCAGTGTACTCTCCTACCTGTTTATCTTTTGCTAGCCTTTTGCTCCAAAATCAGCAAATAGAAAGGCTGCCTTCTTCTGGGGTACGCACTGCATGAAGCGATTCACAGAGTCCCTGATGTAGAAAATCAGTGAGGTGCTGACCAACACCGTGACTAACCCTCTCAAAAATGTCAACTGAAATGTAGATTGTCAATCTATGAAATGTCAATCTACGAAAATGTCATTGATCTGTTTGACTGACAGAGCTCCAGTAGCATGTAAGGTGCTTTGCAAGTACAGGTCTACAAATACAGTGATAACAGACAAAGGCAAACTGAGAACAGGGAGAACCAGTGAATTAAAGAGCACTAGATTCAGCAGGTAGCTTCCCTTAGGTCATCATCTTGTTTCTAAATTGTTTCCTCCTCGATTTGTTTTGGAATCTTTAGCAATACAACTGAGGTTTACAGTCTGTGGGAAAATTGTGTTTTAAGAAATCGCTTGGTAAAAATGAGCCTCTGTGCTTGGAGAGAAAAAATAAGGCATTTTCTCTATAATTTAAATGTAACTTAAGTATGTCTATGAACCTCTGAAGGAGGTGAAGGAGAGCAACTCCTGCCGTCCTTGAGACATGCTCTGTCTGTGTGTTCTTGCTGCCGGCTCATCAGAGGTTTCACACCCAGATCTGTGAGGGAGAAGCATCCTCTGGAAACGGGAGCCTGGCTCACCGTACTCTTGGAAGGGGAGGAGTGCCCTCTATTGCACAGTCTAAGCGTTGTTCATGCCCTGAAATTCACTGTAACATATTAAAAGACTTTCCTTCCCAGCAACAAACCTCTGCCCAAGCATTATGGCTTCTTTTTCTTCTTCACGCCTCTGCCCAAATCCACTTAACTATGATGCCTATTAGAAATCAACTAATTAATAATGGTCATTAATAATGGGGAGTTACTAATACATTTTGAAGTGGAATCTTTCTTAATTCATTGTCTGTGGGGACTAGAGGAGGATTAGCATGCACTTAGAGTAACAGAATTACTCTGGTTTGGGGTACTTTCCAAGTTCTTTTATTTGTATTTTTAAAATGCCCGTGTATCTATATAAGCCCCTAGATATGTTTTACTTCTTTTTCACTAATCCTTTGCTTGTCATCTAACCACTGAGATGTTACAAGCCCAGGAACCTCATCTTGGGTCAGTGGGGTTCTTTGTACAGTCTTGACAAAGGCATCTCAATGATGTTGCAGTGTAAATACATGTATTAAAACGTCATCTGTGCATTTTTATTGTTTCTTCACCAAAGAGTCATGGGGCACTTTGCAGGAAAAAAAAATCCTGAGCCGATTTTTAAAGAGTACTGATAGAAGATATAAAAGACAAGGAGAAAAATTAGAGGTACTTTTAAAAGAGAGAGGACAAGAGGCACATACGCAGCTGATGTCTGTCTTGCCCTCATATGGAACCGGCATGATACATCCAAGGATTGAGAGCTGATCAACGCAATTCTCCAGCACAGCAGTAAACAGCAGAGCTTCCAGCCGAGTGAATTTTTCCATGTCTTTAGTCTCTGTGTTCTTGCTAAGAGGAACAAAGACGAGATGCCAATGAGAATTACCCTATCATGTTAGTAACTGTAATATAAACTAAGGTAGACCTGAAATAGCCTTACTTGCAGCCTTTTATACACTTCCCTAGCTTTGTTTATAGACTTTCAAACACTGTTTATAAGAGGAGCTGTGCTCTGCTAATGGCTGCATTCAAGGAATGTTTAGCTTTCACAGAACAAAGCAGGTCCTGGTCCCTCCTAGAGCAGATCTGGGTAGACAAGATGAGAAAGGAATAAACACAGATTGCACAAATTGGGTGAGGTGGCCTCACCAGTCAGTCCGAGGGGGAGAAGTGCTTCATGCTGGACTTTGTACCTTGGGAAACAACCGAACGAAGGTGCCTTTGTAAAAGGAAAAAAAAAATCCACACCTCTTATAAAATCTCAGTTGGCAGACACTCCTGTTCTAATTGCTCTTTATTATTACTGTGTAGCCTTATCATTTTTATGATCCCAAGCTCCTCGGGAGGAATCGTTACCACCTCAAGACTTTGAAAGTCAAACCAGAACCAATATCCGGACTAAGTAAACTATCTTTAATGCTCTGTGTTCGATTTTGTTTGTTTTATTTTAATTGCTTTTCAAACATGGAACAGACCTGCATCCCTTCTGCATTTACAATATTCCATCTGCCTTGCTTGCAGATAGAATATTGTGACAGTGCATCTAGAGCATGGTGGAAATTCACCATTAAACCAAGTGAGATTGGTCCTTTTAGAAAAATGCATAAGAAAACGTGCATACAAAATAAGAGAAATTATCCGAGGCTTTTAATGAGTTTTGGTAAGCTATTAGACAATCCCTCTGCTCCTAAAACAGGTATTTCTGGTAGAGCACCTAGCACAGGGGGAGCCTGAGATGGCTGAGATCCTGCATGTCATCGCAATGGAAGCATCGACATCTACTAACATTTTGGCTGCTGTTCCTACGACTGAGTTTCTGCCATCTGTAAAACCCTTGCATAAACATACTCCAGGCCTGCAGAATATTACAGCCCAATCTGTAAGCAAACCATGGAAATGCATCAGACAATGCCTGTTAACCTGACTAACGGGATAAAACATGTCTGTAGTCTACTAAAAACCAAAAAGGTTTAGATGCAGACATGCCCAGGATCACTGGGAATCAGTGATTTTTCATAAGCAACTTTACAAATGTTTAAAAAATAGGTATATTTGCTGCGAGAGTTCAGAAACTGGTACCATTTGTCTTTCTATCTCTTTGTTGTTTCTGTTGAAGAAAATAGAGTAATTTACAACTACGGCATGAAATTAATTTCACTGGAGTGGAATATACGGTCACTTTTTAGTTAAGGTCTATGAGATGTCTGTTAATACCATAACAGTTAGAATGAAATAAAAGTGTAGATTTTATGTATTTGTTTCCAGCTAACAGGCACTAATAAAATGATTTTTTAAATTTCTCATACATTTTTATCTTTTTAAGAAATCTATTATCTACATTTTGAGGTTAAATAACATGCGAATAATCTACTTCATGTGGAGTCATAGTGCTAAAAATATGGAGAAAAAGCGTTGTTGTGAGAGAGCTTTCACCGATGACTATGACAGCATTCTTCAAAGTAGAAATAATGCTTGCAGCTCTCACAGGAAAAAGTGACTTAGCTGGAAGTAAAGGCGGATGGAATGCTTTTCCCCTATTGCATGAACAACTTCTGTCCAGCAGAGAGTTAACTCAAGCTGTTAATGTGTGTTAAGAAAACTTCACAGCAGGAATGTTTCTCTAAAACTTGCTGGTTTGCTCTTCCTACATATCTCCTCTTACAGCTGCTCTAACAGGCATATACTCACTCAGCAAATGCTTGTGCCAAACCAGTAAGCTCTGCCTGGGCTTATGTTGACTTGGAAGTGGGAAGGAAACCACTGTCTGGGGCATTTAGAAATGCTACAAGCAGCGAGGTGCTCTCACTGGATTTTAGTATTAACGCAGTGCCCGCAGACCATCCTGATATTGACATTGACCTTAATCGCTGTGCTTTGCTGAACTCCTTCGCTAAGCTCTATTAATAAAAAGAGAGGTATGTGAGGGATTCAGCTTCCCCCAAGAGCTTAGGCTGACATTCTTTCTCTGCTGATCTAAAGGGAAAGAAAAACATATCAAGACATAATTTTTAAAACAACTGGATAAAAGGTCTGGCCTTGTTCCTCTGGGGATTGCAACTCCCTCTGCTGTGTGAGATTCGTGGAGGCACATTTCTCCCATCCTGCCTGACAAACTGAAGTGGCTTCAAGGGCAGCATTTTTTTTTTTTTTGCAGCATTTCTTTTAGTTATTTAAGAATATACTAACAAATGCCAATGAGAAAACTCAAAGCTGAGAATGTCACATCTCTGACAGCTCAGTTTTGAAAAAATAAATAAATAAATAAATAAATAAAATTCTGAATCCCCACAGCGGCAGCAGCTGGGCCTTAAATCAGGAATATCTGAGCGGTGGGCGCTCCTCACTGGTACCTGAGCGAACTTTGCTTTATTCCTTCCTCAAAACAGAAGCTAACAGAAGAATTCGCAGAATTCACAATCCTCCATCCCTCCTCCACTCCGATCTGTAAGAAAAAGCCCTGTTTATATTTTATCCCCGCTCACACACACACAAACCCCGCTCCCCCCCCCCCCCCCCGGCCCAGGCCCGGCGCTCACCGGGCCCCGCGGCCCCGTCTCCATGGCAACCGCCCGGCTCCGGGGGCCTTGCGGGGCTGCCCGTGGGACTGCCTGAACAACGGTTATAGCGACTCCCCTCCGTTAATCCCCCCCCAATAAAATAAAGCGAACGCCAAACCGGATACGCGGAGACCCGGGGCCGGTGTCCGCGCGCTGTTGGGGCCGCTTCTATTTACTTTTTTCACTCAGGCTCTATTGGGGCCGACCTCCGGTGGGGACCTTCGCGGAGCGTATCCCGGCAGGCAGCGCGCGGGGTTCTCCCTTTCGCCGCCATCTTGGTGCGCAGCCATAGGGGTGAGCGGGGCCGCGGCGGCAGCGGGCCGGGACCGGGGGGGGGCTGCCCCCGCCATCGGGCTGCCGGCGGGTGCGGGGCCCCCGGGGCGTTCCGTCTGGCGCCGTGCGGGACGAGGAGTGGGCGGGATGGCGCCGATGCGGGGCGGATGGTGCCGGGAGGCCGCCTGAGGCCTGGAGCGGCCGGTGCCGGGAGGTGGCCGAGGGGCCCCCCCCGCTGTGAGGCAGGGACAGGCCCCGGGGGTGGAGGTGGCGGCCGGGCAGGGCCGGGGGAGGCTGACGGGGTGTGTGTGTCGTTCTAGGCCTGCCGGGACCAGGGCTGCAGGAGGACACCATGAGCGGGAGGTGAGTGAGCCGCCCCACGCTGCGTGATTTGGCAGGTTCTGCTAAAAACGGGGAGTTTGTGAGTGTTTGGCTAAAGCTGCGGGCAGTGGGTTGTGTTTTGTGCCTGCTCTGGTCTTCCACGGCAGCTTCTCTAGCCAGTACACCTGAGTATCCTGGGTGTCTGTCAGACCGCCACAATTGGGTCTGCGTATTCTGAAATCCTTGCCTTGAACTGGTAGTAGCTGTTTGTTTTGTCCCACGCCTGTCAGTAGACTGTTGACTGTTAATATTGGTTAGTCTTGGTCCTGATCATATTGCTTCATTGATTAATGGAGGTGCCGTACCACTGACGTATTCTTCTATAGCTATAGGGAGGATTGTGTTCATAGATAGCAGAGGGAGTAAAACTGAATCTTGGGGTTTTAATATTTATATGCAGTTTATTTTGTGTGGAAGATAGAACAGGGTTATTTACCTTAATACCATCGTATTATGGTTGCTGTATGCAGTTGTGACACAGTCATGTTTTGTGGAACAAGCTATCCCATTGCTTTAAGCGTATAGCACAAACAAGTTTTTGTCATAGAGAATTGTTGAGTTTGTGTCAGTCGTCCACACGTGCACCGAGTTGTAGGCCTCTATTTCTGCCTGTCCACGTAAACTGCAGTTTGAGGCTTCAAATGAACTGCTGCTAATACTTCCTGCTGCAGCAGCTCATGCTTAACTGCAGCACAAGAAGCTCAATGTATGTGGTATACGTGCGTAGACTGTTGTCCCAGTTACTTAGCTTTTCTCTTCCTTGAACGTAAAGACTTGCAGTAATTGGTAGAACTGCAGTAATTGGTAGAATTGGTAGAACTGGTTTTTTTCCTCCAGCTAAATTTCTATTGGTGTGGAAATAGTTTGTTCTGAATGAGCACGTTGTTTGGCTTTATCTTTAAGGTTTTGGACTGAGTTAATTTGTACATTTTCAATGTCTTCAGGTTGTGGTCCAAGGCCATTTTTGCTGGCTACAAACGTGGCCTCCGAAACCAGCGGGAGCACACCGCCCTTCTGAAAATTGAAGGGGTCTATGCTCGCCAGGAGACAGAGTTCTACTTGGGCAAGAGGTGTGCCTATGTGTACAAAGCAAAAAAGTAAGTCATTTTTACTGCTAAACTAAATCTGTCAACTTCTATGCCAGGTTTTGCAAATGCTGGGGTGTGAGCAGTCTACTTAGGTATCTTGAGATAGAACAAAAAGAGAAAGCTCAGCTTGCAAACAATGTCCATACAGTATTGTGTAGAGCAGTTTCCTTGTTTGTTCTTAAGTTTGAAGTCGTTTGTTGTTTTTTAATTAGTTGACGTATGTGTCCATCATTCAGATCATGAACTTAATGTAACAGTGAATAATCATTCACTGTTACAAAGGATGTATTAAAGGGCAAACGGGAAGAAAAGCAATCTTTGCTTGGGTCTGGCAAAAACTAAAGGCAGGTTGATAGAGCAAACGGAGGTGTGATGAACTTGTGTTGAACACTGTTATTGGGATATTTAATGGCAGAATATTTTGTGAGGGCTGGAGGAGTTTATCCTGGCTTTTGTGTGTCTGTGTCAGAGCACTTCTGCTGTGCTGGCATTGGTGGTCACTTCAGAGTGGTCGCTTATTGCTTTCCACTTATTTTTTGTTTGAGCATAATTGTTGATACAGGAGTTGAGAATTGTCTTGAATAAAACTTATCAGGCTGTTTGTGTGACCAGTATCATTTTGAAAATGACGTGGCTTTTCTTCTAAGGTAGTTGTGGCCAGTCCCAGTGCCTTAGGCTCATGCGTGTGGTGTTTCTGGCAAAATCTTAGAAAAAAAATGTTGTGTTTTCTTCAGAATAGAAATTGAGGAGTTCTCAGTTAGATCTTAATATAGATGTTTTCCCTATTAAGCTTTATGGTTTGTTAAGAGTTCTTTGGAGCTTGTGACAATCTACCAGCTGCAGCACTTACACTGTTTGGAAGGCACAGTGCAATTTGTGTGCTCAGAACCTTTTCTGTTTCCTCAGCAACACCGCAACCCCTGGTGGCAAGCCCAACAGGACACGAGTGATCTGGGGGAAGGTAACCCGTGCCCATGGGAACAGCGGCATGGTTCGTGCCAAGTTCCGTTCCAACCTCCCTGCCAAGGCCATTGGACACAGAATCCGAGTGGTGAGTAGTTCTGGTTCAGCAACGAGGCATTCATTGGCAGCTTTTGGGGTGCATTTTAATCCCCCTGACTGTGAGGGAAAGCCTGAACTCTGATTTTGTTCTGTTGCTGTTGTGTATTCCTTGCAAAGCTAGGAGAGGTTTATTGCTGGCTGCTTGTGCTGAGAGGATTTGTTGTTGTGAAGGGTTTTGTGTGCTTGTTCAGGCTGCCTCCAAAGGCTCTTAAAACTCCTGGACTCTTCAGCTCCCTTGTAAATATATTTTTATTTCTTTTCCTTGCATCTTGTATACGTAGTTTGTTTTTAACTGAGGGACAATTACCTTCCTAGTGATTTTGCCCAAAGAAGCATCACAGGGAGATGTTGATTCCTCATTTGTCTTTCTCCTGTGCCTTAGAAAAAGCACAGTAGGAGCAGCATGGTTAAATCCTGAAACCAGACACATGAAGCCTCTTGCTCTCAGTGAGCAGGAGAGCTGACAGCTGTGGGGGAGCCTGTACCTCTTGTGTAAATGGGGGAGTTGCTTTTATAGCAGTTGAAGAGAAGCTTGTTTAAAATCAGTCCCATAACAAGGTATCTAATGTGATTCTATTCTTGTGTTTTACAGATGCTGTACCCGTCTAGGATCTAAATTTTTATTGGAAATAAAATGCAGAGTCTGTTTCATTTTTGTACATTCCTATTTTTATCTTCACCACCTACTTTGAGGGATTTTATTGTTCTTCAGTGGCGTATCAGAGCGTACAGCACAGTGATGTAGTAGTGGCTCCAAACTAGATCCTCAGATGGAGATTTGACCCATGCAAGGCACTTGTACAGCAGACTACATGCTAAAGGCAAATAACTGGCAGCCCTTACTGTGACCTGTCGTTGCCTCCATCGCAGAACAACCGATTTTCAGGGCTGAGCAATAAATGTTTACAACCTCAGACTGTGCACGCAAGTTTTCTACAGAACGGGAGAAGTATTTCCTTGCCTCCCAGTTAGAGGGAAACCTCGTATACCTGCTGGTTTCCTTTCCAGCCTTACCACAAAGAGTACGTGGGATGGGAAGGATCTTTAAATCAGGATCCCCTGTTACTTTTCACGATTTCTTTAACGTTTATTGATCAAAAAGGCAGTGAAAACAGATTGAAGGATACTTAAAAGTCCGAGTTTCTTGGTACATCTCTCAGAAAAAATGGGTAATTTTAAGGGAGGTCTCAGGCAGCTGCAGGTTGGCATGGCTACTGCTGATGTCACAGTCTTCTTTTATTCCCAAAATGACCCGTCAGTACAGGAGGGTGACAGCTGCTGATGCATCACAGCAGTTCAGACACCTAGGAAAGCATCTCTGGCTGCTGAGGCAAGTGAGTCACTGCCCTAACCCTCACTCCAGTGTCTTTTTTCCCACCTCACGAGTGAGCTTCCTTGGCCCTGCCGCTTTTATGTGGCGGGTCAGTGTTTCATAAATAGCCTTTCCTTCTGAAGGAGGTATAGATAGAATACATTATTAGGTAAATTACTTTATTTGTGAAATTCAAATTGTTTGAAGCTGGCTCCTGTCATCTGGTTTATGAATTATTTCTCTAGATACGCTTCAAGCACTAAAAACAATTTTGTCTTTGCTTTGAGGTTATGAGAGCGCGTGAAGTTGGAAAGCTGCAGCTTTTTTACATGGATGGAGAGAAACTGGGCAGCTTAGGGGGTACTTGGGTCAAGCAGGGCTTTATTCTTAGAAATACCAAGTTGTAGGATTCAAAGAAGGGCAGGGTGGAACATAAACTGAATTTCCAGGTTGGGGCTGTACCAGAGGTATGAGGAGAAAACTAACAGGCGAATCAGATTGTGACAGCGTGTGGGTCAGACTGGTCCCTGCTGGGTGTTTGGCTTCTGCTGAAGAGAAGGTAATTAATGAGTGCTGCCACTGAGTTAATCCTTGTGTCAGAACTCAAGTCCGGCATTCATCTGGTCCTGCCAAAACCAGTGTTTGGTTGTACGGAGCAGTTGCTGGTGATGGAGATGCCAATGTGACGGCCCTCACTGTGCTGCTGGATTTTGTCCAGGATCCGTTTGGCACAGTTGAAGTGCCAAACTACAGCAGATGGAGAGGGTGAAGGAGGAAGGAAAGGAGGAGATTTGGCCAGCAAGCCAGCACTTTGAATCAGCTCATGCAGTGGGATCTTCTGGGTGAGACCCTCAGGAAGGTGAGGAACCTCCCCTGTGTGCCAGCTGTGCTGGTGGTGATCCATCCTGAGGTGCAGGGGAGGTCAATGTGGTGCTTTGTGACCAGGTTCCGATACAGGAGGGAGGATGAGCTGGGCTTCACAAGCAGAGTGATCTGGGAATTAAAATCATGTCCCAGGGAAGGACAGACATCGAAATCTCTGTGTGCAGCCTGCAGGGAAGGGCCAGGCAGGATCCTGAGGATGTCTCAGCTGCCTGCTGCCACAAGGGGACACTGCTCCCACAGCTTCATGCCATCCTGCTCCAAAACCCTGATTTTGCTGCATCAAAGCTGAACAACCTCCCTCGGGAATCTCTTGTCAAAAATCACTGACTTTCTGCTTTGCACAAAATGCGATTGGAGCAAGCGATGTCCCCTGGAAGCCTGCTGGGCTGGTTCAGCTGTGAGCAGGGAGTGAGTCAGAGCAGGACTCACAGAGCTGCCTCTGGGCTTCAGACTGTCCCAGCACCGGCACAGTGGAAGAAACCCAGAAGAAAGTAGGAAGAAACTACTCTACCTTTACTCTACCTTTACTCTACCTTTACTCTACCTTTACTCTACCTTTACTCTACCTTTACTCTACCTTTACTCTACCTTTACTCTACCTTTACTCTACCTTTACTCTACCTTTACTCTACCTTTACTCTACCTTTACTCTACCTTTACTCTACCTTTACTCTACCTTTACTCTACCTTTACTCTACCTTTACTCTACCTTTACTCTACCTTTACTCTACCTTTACTCTACCTTTACTCGATGCTGGTACTTTGCAGCCTCTTGGATGAGGTTTTGGTTCTGTGGAAAAAAAAATCTTTAAAAGACAGGGAGGAAAATGACCTTGTCTGGTTGTTTGGATGTAATTGTAACACACTTGACCTGATTTCTGTGTTGTGGAAGAGTCCTTCCGTGAGCAATCAGGCATCTTGAGGTAAAGCCCCACCTTTTTAGTGTGCACTTGCTGTTTTGGTTCAAGCTAAAGCAGAAATTACCTCCCTCGAGTCAACACAAGATGCTTTATGTGTGCTGCAGGCAGTTTGTCATTGTAGAAAGTTCAGCTTCAAAAGACTCATCAGCACGTTAGAGCATCCTTAAAGCACGTAACCATGATGGAATCCTGTGCCTCTACTATCTGCTGAAACATCCAAAAGCTGGTTAGCCACCCAATTTCAGGCACAATTTGTGTGTCACTCAAGTTTCTCCTGTCAGCACGTTCCTGCCATGCCCAGGCACTTTGTGTGGCACCGCCAAGCGCTGCTGGTGGGACAGAAGCTGTGAAGCACCAGGCTGATAAATCTGTTGAGGGCTGCAGGTCTCTTCCCAAGGCAGAGAGAGCGACCTGCTCTGCCCAGCTGGCGTCACACACTGCGAGCATTGCGGATCGTCAGTCCTGTGGGCTCCTGGTGTTTGAGCATCAGATTGCCACCTCCAAAAGAAGATCTTCATCAAAATGGCACTCAAACCGAGCTTGGCCTCTTTCGGAAAGAAAACTTTGGTAGCCCTGCTCCTTACTGATCCAATGCGTCGTGCCTACGTGCCAGGACAAAGTCCAAACGCGTGTTGGGGCAATCAGGTAGGGTGCCAGGAGGGAACCTTGCCAGCTGGATACCTGTGGCCCCTTTCAGGGCTCAACGATGTGAAAGCAGGCAGCTCCAAAACATCCTGCTCTGCCCATTGCAACAACTCCAGCCTGGGGAGCTGATGGACCTGTCCTTCGTGGCTCAGGTCCTGTCATCAAAACCATGGCCACTAGGTTTTTTCGAGGCTGGGAGCACAGGGACACGGTGGTTATTTCTTCCTTGGCTCTGGCAGAGCCCAGGGATCGCTTGACTCTAAGCAAAACAAAACAAAACAAAAAGATTTTGTCTGTATCAGAGAAACTGGTGATGGGAGAAGCTTCACCAAACAACTGATGGCAAAGTGGGGTTTGGAAATCTTTGGGTTGGAAACCTGCTTGGGATACACGTAAATAGAAAGGAAAGATAAGAATCCTTTATCCTGTCCTCTCTGCTCTCTAAATGAGAGGTAAATCATGGTAAATGCATCTCTTAAGGGGCCTAATCCCACAGATCTTCGGTCTTGCTTAGACGTTGAGGCACTCCTAATATAAAAGGTATATTTATTTCTCTGGACAAAGCATCCTCTCTTCCCCTTTTGAAGTCCAAAATGAAGAGATGATGTGTTTGCCCTGAACAGGCATGGGCATATGTAAGAGGTGCAATTGCCCTGCCTCATTTAGGGCAAGCCGTAGAGATTTCCTACAAGCCTTTCTGTCAGATTGCTGTCTGAAGGCAAAGGGCAGAGTGTCGGGCCCTGTAAACACATCTGGCTTTCTGCTCGGCCACCTGCCAGAGCTCTGAAGTCGCTCTGTTGGGGACTGCCAATAGTGCTGAGCCGACGGCTGCCTCTGACCCGTGTGAGCTCTCTCTAAGTAACGCAAGGGGAGATAAAGGTGTATTTGCTGTAAGATCTCGCCTCTGTTAATGAGTAAGGAAATGTAAACGCGGTTGTTTGGGTATTGTGGGTGACATTCACCTTTCCAACCAGCCCCCTCTGGCAATGGTGGATGTGTACCCAAAATTAACCATACAATCGCAGAGGCCACAAAGAACAGCTCCATCCGTTCCCAAATATTAGTTTTTGGGTGGCTGTGCTGGCAGTTTAAACGTCAGGGCCACTGAGGAGAAATAGCCAGCAGTGCTTGTTCTGGGCTCAGCTGGGAAGAGCCCTGCGGTTCTTCCTGTACCCTCCCCACAAGGAAAAACTTCATCAACCCGGGGAGTGACCTGCCGAAAGCCCCCTTCCCGAGGTATTTTGGGGTCTCTGTGCGAGCCACTGGCACGGCACTGGTTGAGAAGAGCCCTGCGAGACCGATGCTGTGGTGGTCTTGGCGCATCAGGTGGGGTGTCGCTGGCTCTGCCACGCTGCAGGATGTGCCAGCAGTGTTTCTGGCAGGCTGGCGTGCAATTTTAATGTGCCGTGGGGCTGGTTTGCAGGGAGCGTCCCACATCCTCAGAGCAAACAGGTCTGGGTTTCCCCTGGTCAAACTTCCAAAGCAGGAGCCTTTCCTTGGCTTGGTGCTTGCAGGGAGGAGCTCTTCAGATGTCTTGCTGTACAAATCCCTTCCTGGAGACCTTCTGCTTGTGGCTGGTGTCTGGAGAACCCCTGGTATGAGCTCCATACCCAAAATTCTGTAAGAGGGGAAGGTGTGAGCAGAGAGAACCCAAGGCTGTGGGCTTCTGGGGCCCTGCACCTTCCTGGTACCCCTGCTGCTGCTCCTGGCAGAGCTCCTGGTGCTGACTGCACCCAGGGCTCTTCTCCCCCAGATAAAATGCAGGGCCACGAGCAGGATTCTGACCAGATGAGAGGAGATCCTCGTAAATGTAAAACCTGGGCAACATTAAGGCCAGACCTGGGTGTTGAACCGTGTCTGATTGTAGCCCTGGCACGCTGACATCTGCTCTCAGGATCCCCACGCTGGTGCGGGAGTGTAGCCTCTTGCAACAACAGACCCTGATCTTTGGCAGAGGAGCCTAATCCCCCTGGTTTATCTCCCCCAACCTGGTTATCAGCACTAGTCAATGAGTAAGTTACTTTTACTAAGAGCTAGGGCAGAAAGTCTCTCTGAAACCCTTGCCCAGGCTGTCCAGCCCCATGATGCTGGTGTGGGGCAGCGTTCCTAAACCTTTTGTAGCTGGAGCATGCTTTTTCCTGGCTTAACACTG